GCGATCAGTTCAGTACCACCGTTCGGACTTATACGCATATGCATTTTTTTATCTTTCTGTTCACCATAAATTGTGGTACAGTTGATAAGTCTATAGTCAAAAAAGCTTAGTGGTTGACGGGCGCTTTGCGCTACACTGCATTTACCACGTGTACGCACATGTTTACCACGTGTATAACCAGACTTAGTGCATCTTTGCGCGGCCGTTTTTGGTGTCTGTAATGTACACGCGCAAAATTTAAAAAAAAAGGGGGGGGGGGGGCAGCTCAAGCAGTGCCTGGCAGCCACTCCCTTTCGTTACATTCCAAAAAGAAAAGTATTTGATTCGTGAGTTTTTCGAACATTCGCCCACCGGCACATACGAGACTCAGTAGCGTAAAACTAATTAACAGGAAATCTAATTATGTGGCATAGGTGATGTTAAAACGTTGTCACATCAAGCGAGTGAATAAATGTCACAAAACTCTAGAAAGGAAGCACAATATTAAGAGATCATTCGAAAGACTTCCCGACGACTAAGTGTCTCGCAGTTTATTTGTTCGTGACCACTACAGTTGAAAGTACGCCAAGAAAACTTCACGTGATAACAAAGTTTATTCCACTTTCATTTCCTTTTCAATGAGACATTTCTACAACAATTCAACTTTAATGTTTGTATTTACACGTGCAGAAATAAACACTACTGCATCCAACAATCAAACCAAAAGACCCGTCTTCGTCTCGTCAAGAACAATCACATTTTCGTTTATGAAATCTCCATCACGATTTTTTTATCACTTCCTGCCTCCATCTTTCCCTGAATACTTGAATACTGCTGGAAGGTGCAACCAACATGCAAAATAAAAATAAGACACCCGGAGCACAAATACAAACGATTTGATGAAAGCGAATTAGCATACAAGTAAAGCAAACAGCTCCAACGTTAAACTTGGCAAGTCTCAGTATGCACTGCGCTCAATTTTCTATCGGCGTCCAAATGATGCTCCGAACAGTGGCAAGCATTTGCAATGGTACAGTGCTCACTGTGCAGCCATCATCATGAACATGCGCAGTGATGTCAATACGGAGTGCTGCACATCTGACTGGACGGCACACACTAGTGCAAATGCTTGCCACTGTTCGGAGCTTCATTTGACGCCTCGTGAGCCAAAGCCGGGGCACGAAGACGCGTCATAAAAATTGCAACGACTGTATTTTAATTAAATGAAGTGAATCGGTTGAAATATTCGATGCGACTGCAGCAAATAATTTGTCGCAACATGAACGTTCAGCATAGTATTCCAATTACTTTAAATTAACTAATGTTCGCTCTGTGCCACTTCGACGTAAGAATGCCTGGGACACATCTATCATACTGCTGCTCTATACAATGGCAAAACGAAGTTTCGGGACATTCAAGCTAAGTCTTGAACGTCACGTCTACGGGAGAAATCCTAATTGCTTAGTAAGCATCAACCTAAAAGCAAAAGGGTACATCACGATTAGACGGTAAGCCCTGATAATAGTGCATGCTATAGATACTTTAAACGGGCACAGCAACATTTTTGACACAATAAAAAAATGACAATTCAGCTCAAAAATCACAAGAAATTTAAATTTCTTGATAACCACATGTTTTGCATTACCTCAGGAAAAAAGAACTGCGTTATAATCAAGGTTTTTTCACCAGAGCACCACAACACGAAATTATTTTCAACACATTTGACTGCACAAGCACGCACACGCAGCTGTATCCATTTTAGCCAGACTAATGACCATGGTTTGAAAAAGAATGTTCTAAACACTATTTCTACTTAAACTTTCTTTCTTGAGTAGCATTCGCTGCGAAGACCTCACAGCAAATGCTTCTCTCTTTTCTCTTTTCAACATAAAATTTCAAGCCCCTTCTCATCACCGGTGTGCGATAAGTAGTAATACCAGCCTGGACATATCTAATTACTGCCTATATCTAAAAGATGCCACATCGCCTTAAAAATGGCATAGAAAAGTATAGCACTGTGTATACGAACAGGAAAGGGCTTCCTGTCAGTTACATGCATTCCACAAAATATATAAAATAAATAAATAGTAGGCTAACTTTTCTGACACGGATTCATTCCTAAACGAAAAAAAAATGCTAGTTCCGGCTCTTCAAAGGCCCCAGAGAACGAATGCCTAAAATCAGGCAGGTTCCCAGATAGACTTCAGAGAAGCACATGTCTAACTATCGATGTTATGAACTATTTAGAGATGTCCATGAAGTTCTATATATTTGGGTTATTCACAACATCACTCAACACACACGAACCACGTCAACAAGACCATACAACATTCCCTTACGTAAACTACCCCTTAAGTCGAGCGGCATGAAACCGCGGGCATACCTGGCTTTCTACAACACACGAAAAGTGCGATTAAGTAAATGCACTTATTTTCAAAATGCTCATATAGAAAACTAGAAAAAAAAAACATGCTTCTTATCGTGATAGATAAGGGTATCAAAAGTCGTAACAAGAACACTCACATGTGATGGTTAAAGTTTTTGCACTTGTGATGAGACGCTACGATTATCAAGCTATGTACACCGAACTTTATCAATGCATGATATAGGGATAGATAACACACATGCATATACCAATGAATCCCCAATAGGGTGCGTTTACACTGAAGCGACACGACACTGACATGACCCTGACGAAAACACGAGGCAGACGCAAACCATCGGCCGACCGAAAAGCCCAGACCGAAAACCCGAACAAAACGCATCCACAGACCTGTCGTCGGCGTGTCTTCAGGAGATCGGCGGCTGAGCGAAAATTCGCCCCATGATTTTGCTTTAGACGACCACGAATCGGGCAATCTCGGGAAAGTTAACAATGCGCTCTCCGAGGTTTCCGCGGCGTCTGAACAGCACCCAACGGAAATCTTTTCTTCGCTACCATATTGTGTATACCCAACCTCGTCCCTCGTTACCAAGGATCATGGCGGGGGCTGCGCTGCTTAGGCTTAGCCGGAGAGGAACAATGGCAGAGCAGGGAGCATGATTGAAAAAAAAAAAACAGGTGTGGAAGTTTAGTTGGTGTCGTTGCGTGTGCCTCCAATGTGACTACAGAATTGGCCAACGAAATACTGTGAGCACGACAAGGCGCGAGCGCAGTCCTCGAGAGAGCATCCGGGGACTGTTTGTGTCTTTGAAGTGTACAAAGGCCAACGACAAAAGGAAAGACACTCCAAAAACACAGCCCGCAGACCAAAATCAGTGTCGTGTCTCTATAGTGTAAATGCGTCTATAGTCTCATCAACACTGCATGCTCTATATACACAGGCAACAAAACTGTACAGTTAACAAAACACTCCCACAGTAAAACAATTTTGCAAACATGCTTCAAATGCGATCAGCGCTGCGGTTCGTCCCCCCCCCCCCCCGTCTTTTCTTTTGTCCGGGTAGCCATGCGCTGTGTTAAAATATGTTCGAGTGACTCTCTCGTTCCCCTTCCCAGCACTTCCGGTTGATAACTTACTTCCGGGGTTTTAATATTCAGAAAACGTGTTTAAAAAATAAAATTTGTCCAAATCGATGGTTCAAACTCTAGTTAAGAGTCGGGTTGGTTACATATATGTCATCGGTGCATAAGCTCAAGATAAGGACCGATTGATTAATTAACAGTAAGAATAATTAATGTAAATTATTTTACTTGGTTTATTGAGAGAGCAAACATTTTTCTTGCTAGCAGCTCGGACGGCTGCACAACCTTTCAGAGCAGATCTTGACAGCAGAATTCTTTCTACTTGGCCTCAGAGATGCGCTTCGGCACCGTGCGAAACACAAGGTTAACACAAGAAATAGACCAGGTCACACGAACAATGAGGTGCGAACGCCGCTACCAGACACTAGGTTGTCTCCGGACTTTGTAGATCAGGGTCCGGGTCCAGACGCCACATCAGAGTCGTCTCCAGACTTTGCGAACTCTTTAGTGATGAGCCGCAACATACATCGTGATGTATGTTGCGGCTGTTGTAGTGATGAACCGCAACATACCACCTGATATATGCAGTACACTTTAACGCGGGCACGACCCTCGAACAGTGCGTCCATCGATGCTTAGCGTAATCTTGTGTCAAATAACGAACTGTCAGTGACGATGCACATTCATACGTGGCACTGCCTGACATATGCAGTACGCGTTAACGCGGACACGACATTTAAAACAGCCCGTCGAGCGGTTCTTAACATAATTTTGAGTCCAACAACAAAATGCGCGCATTAGCTTCCGCATGCTTTGACGAAAACAGGAACTTGTGCACTGGCTACTAGAACTACTGCACTGAACGTATTCACGTTTCAGCGACTATTCACCACGCGGGGATCTTTAAAACAAGCTTAATAGCGAAATCTGTGCGATTTAAAGGGCCCCTAAAACAATTCTTGTTCAAAGACGAGTGAGTCGTTTGTTTCTCGCCTTCACCTCACTTCTTACAGGCCATGTCTCCTCCTCGCCATAATATACTCATATTTTCATGAATCACGGAGCGATCTCAGTACGCGTCAAACCTATCCGTGTATTGCACTTTTCGACTACATGATGTTATCTCCGCTCGCACGGTGGAAAGTACGGAATCACGAGGTGAAGTCAGGAAGTCATGCGAGACATGGCAGAACGGACGTTGGTCGACCGCATGGCAAAGTATTTAACAGGCAACTTGCGACTGATATCCCTGCACATAGTGACCGATCGGAGGATATTTCCTGATGACGTCACGCAAAGTGACTGCTCGCGTAAACACGGCGCACGCCACGAGAAATTAACTCACTCGGTCCTTATACTAATAATGCCCGGGTCTACCACGGTTCCGCTGACATAATTACATCACCGTCAGAACGCTGTAAAATATGTAGCAGCAGATAGCGAAGGAAAAACAGTAAGTAGTAGTTCCGTATTGGCGTGTGGAACTAGCGACCTTTCACTAGCTAGCGGGTAACGCGAACCACTAAGCTACAAAAAGTACGTTGTTCAGTTTGCCATTTATATACACAATGTACCATTGGCAATCCTTACAGCTGAACAACTTCAGCGCGGTTTCGTCATCAGCAGCGATAAGACGCGACGAGCGCGCGTGAGGTTGTTTGTAGGGGCCCTTAATTTGCAGGAAACTGGCTATTTCTAGCACTTAAGCGTGTCATAGCAAACAACTCTGTTGCCATCAATGCAAACTCCTTGCGAATTGGAACGCAACTGAATGAGTTAATTCTCTCCCCCTTCCCCCGAAAAAGGTAGCTCGCTGAGAACGTCATAACTTAATTACTATTTACCTTGGCTTGCACGCACAATTCGTCGTGAATACGAAGCCCACACGGCTCGCAACCAGTCATTTGCTGACTATATACAGGTTTTATGACTACTATATACAGCACTCGTAACCTTGCCAAGACACCACTCGCTCACGCAACACACGCATGCATTTTGTTGATATCGAAGACTCAGTTGTGTGCACTCAGAAAATAAGGTTGAAGAGAGCTCACTCAAGATTGCTGTTTTCACGACAAAGCGACGCAGTTTTTGGCACGAACATTGGGCACGTCATCATGAAGAACACGTGTATTAATATCACTGTGGCAAGACGCAAAAAAAAAAAGATTAACTACACACACGCACGAAGTGTACTATCGTTTGCTAGGATGTACACGCTTGCAAGAGGGCACAACTGCTCGAATTTCGCTCCACGCATGCACGTTCGTGCGGCTTCCTTTGCACTCTTTGCCATTTGTGCATTTGTATTCACCACACGGAAGCACTAGTTCAAAGTCTACAATTTTACAAGTCTGTGAGACACTTTCTACCCATAACACACACGCACAAACACGGGAGAACATGTACATACGTCGTTCAAATACGTCCGCCCAAAACAGGGACATGTATACGCTTTGGAAGAGAAATGAGCACATCGTGTACTACGATTCGCGGCCAGCCGACCTTAGTGTCAAAGCCAGGAGCTGGGCTAGTGAGTCAAGGTTTTTCGACGCAGCTACCGTCGTTAGCGAATTCTCGAAGTCTTCTGCATCGGACTCCTCGTTCGCAGTGACCCAGTCGTCGTCGAGAACGACACCGACAGATGCGCTGTCGTCCTCGCAGCGTACTCTCCCAGTGGACTCGGGCTCTTTGTCGACCACTCGACCAGCACACGATATAGAATCGTCTTGGGTCAGTTCTTGCTTGAGTTTCGCGTAGGTCTCCCTAGCTGCGCTCACCAGTTCGAGAAGCTCCTTGAACTGTGCCTGCACAACCGTTCAATCGGGAGTGAACAAGGACACTGGTGTATACGGTACAAGAAAGACTGGGAGCATGATGTGTCATGTTGTACAGAACAAGGGCTGTCACTGAGCAAAGAGTGTTAGGAAATAGTACGGGCAAAAGGTATCATATATCATAGATAAAACCTTCACGGAAATCAGACAGTCAAACATCCCCGAAGCAAGCTCCATAAAAGCATTCATAAACGTGCTCGGGGACAAATTTTATAGCGAGGATCTGTGTGACTTGAATGATAGTGTCCGCTCAACACATTATCCTATATTAGTTGCTGTAATACAGCGTAATCTAGCCTTTGTTTTCTTTATGATGCTAAGACACATGCGTCCATACATTCAATTAACGGGACAATCAATTAACGGACCTGCTAAGCCTGAACTGTGAAAAAAGAAAGCATTAACAAAAGCATACTGTGTCCTATACCTATACTGTGTCACCTTTGTTATGGGTTTGTAAAGTGAGCATGAATTTTCTAAAGTGAAACTGTTATAGCTGGCAGTAAGATGTCCGTAAACAAGGAATCCACGCGGTGCCGTTGTCATAGCAACTGTAACTGCTACGCGCCGCCTCTGCTATAAGCATAGCCAAGCCGCCAGCGAGCCGTTGCTAAGGCATCCACCACAGTTTTTACTGCGTGGCTCAGGGTCAGCAATTTCAACACATCGAAAGTGGCAAGGTTCGAGCGTATTCCAGATCTGCCCGTCACCATTTCTCGGCCGCTGCTTCTTCGGCCACACACGCAAAATCCCGTCGCCGCCGGCGTTGATTCTGCAGCACGATAAGCTGAGGATCAACCAGCTTCGCTGCGCCAAGCTTTGCATAGCTTAGTGTAAACTTCCCACTTTATTTCGTTGTTCAGGCTCAAGTGCAACGACGGCAAGCTCACCTCCCGTGCACTGTAGTCGAAAATTCCGACGCAGCTGACAGGCACGTTCTTCTTGGCAAGAGTTCCCAGGTGGCGTCGCCTCAGCGCGAACACGATGGGTACGAAGTGCGCGCGTGCGTAGTCAATCATGTCGCGCAGCGAGTGGTCCAAGCCCCCTGCGAGTGCAAGAATACAGGCTTTACACTTCAAGATGAATACATTTAGTTACTTGTAGGCTTATATCAACGCTGTGGGCCTGTTTATGTGCACCTTTTTTAAAACACAAACCTGTTACTAAAGGCCGAGACGTATACATGCTGTGATCATTATCTAAGTTGAAGTTCAGCCTCTACCAAACGAGAATGACAAATTTAAGGAAACCAACAAAACACATTGCAGAATATATGGCTCTGCCTGAGACGTCACGTGATGAGCTATATAGAAACATCAGGGTCTGAATGCGACTTGTTCGTTAACTAAATTAGGCACAGCACGTCGACTGCAGGCAGGCAGCGTGGTTTCTTACCTGCGCCTTTCACCTCCTCGATGTCCGGGGCGAAAACGATGCACTTGAGTTTGTTGAGCAGCAGGTACTTGCGCACTTCCTTCAGTCCGTACACTAAACGCCGCTTGGATCGGGCCTACGTAAAAAATACAAACAAAAAGCAAAGGAAGGAGAGAGCAAAATGAGACGCTTCGAAAATAGTGTGAAGTACAACTGCACCTCCTGTTCCCCAGCCTCCTCGTGCGCCCGCCTGAGGCATCGCGAGTCCCTTGGCGGCAGCCACGACGCCTCACCGCAGCTAAATGGGATATCGAAAAGAGAGCGAGAGAGATCGTATTTGATAAGCGCGACATATGAGATAAGAAAAGAGCAGAGTCGATCGGAGGGCAAACTGCGGTAGCTGATCTCCTGGACATGGACAGGCCACGTACGTAATTCGTAAGGCAGACAACCTATGGTACACGAGCACTACAGATTGAGCAAGGATTAAAAATGCGGCCTAGTGTAAGATAAAGTGATGAAATTTCAAAAATTCGCAGGAAAGTGGGCTCAGCTCACGTAAGATAGGGCACTGTAGTTAGCTAGGAAATGCAACAGTTCTGAAGTGCAGAACGAAGAGGCTGATTACGGTGATCTGACAAACAAAGTGAGCATTGATAATTTGAACCACAAGCATTTTTTTTAAAGTTCCAGATAGCCTCGAACAAGGTACACAGCTTCCCTGGGTATCTTGTTGTTGTGTTGGGTATATTCTAAGCGCGACGGTCAGAAGCGGGATATTGCGAATGAACGTGGGCGCTTTGCGACCAGAATTACATGGTAATGTTTCTGTGGCACTCTACCACATAAAAGAGTCAGTCAACTTCAATAAGTATAGTTTTGCTCACCAGATATCATTTCTCTTCTCCTATCACACGTTCAATAACGGCGCGGCGCCACCTATAGATGGAGCTGCGTCCGCTTTCGCCAATTCCTGGAAATCCTGCTTGGCCAGTGGCCACAGAAACAAGCATTCTATGCAGCGAATAAATCGATGCATACCTCAAATCTTTTAGTGCGATGAATCGTGACGTTGATCATCACGTTGCTTACGGCCTGTTTGGAAGGCACTTGGACAACGAGCGCCTTCCACTGACGATCTAACATTCGTCGCATGGAAACCACCACACAGTTAGTACAAACTCTAGAGGAAAGACTCCACAGGGTCAACGTGTGCATTTCAATCTGCAACCACAAAGGCGCCGCCACTGCGGCTATTACAGTACTGTGTAACAGCGTTATTAGCGTCTAAAACGCGTGTCAAGCTTGTCCGTGGCATTCATTTGTCATCGCGATTATTCAAAAGAGATCACATGAGGCAGGGTTGTAAGCAAAGCCGTGTACACGAGGAGGGAGCAGGACGGGAGCACGAATACAGCCCCATACATTTATATGATAGGAAAAGGAGCGCTGCGATAAATGTTCACCCCCCCCCCGAAGGTGAAACCCTGCGCCCGCATATGGTTGTAAGTTGCCGTACGTGTCTACAGGAACTGCAGACGACGACGCACTGCGACTCACAACTCAGTGAGAAAATGGGCAAACGGCCACGAACTGGAACTTGATTGGCTGTAAAGGCTCAAGAGGCCAGAACCCTCCTGTCCTTTTTACTCGAACTCACCTCTCGAATGAATGGGTGGATGCTATGAGCATCCCTTTATAACAGGGCGGTGACATGTGTGCCACCAAGCTCGATGGCGCCTCTCAACTGGATTTGAAGGCACCATCTAGCAAAAGTTCCTAGAAGTACATCTTCGTGCGCCACGAGTCGGCGCGAAGTAAATTGCCTTAATAGCGCTTGAATATTTAATAAAAATTATCGAAATGAACATTAGGTGCTGTCCGCACGCTTACAATTCGTCATGATGTATATGTTCGATTTCAAATATCAACATTAAACAGCACAAACTTGAGCCGACCTATAAATTACTGCAAAGGCAACAATAAAAATGGCCAGGGTAGCCACTGGTGGCTACTTTTTGCACCAAACTGGCTACTTTACGACCCTGATAGGCTACGAAAATTTCAGGTTGGCGCCATGGCTCGTTATTCTGCGTTTTGGCTCATTCAAAATCGTCTTATTTATTGTTGAATATTATTATTCATAATGTTCTTGCGGTCGGCGATCTTTCAGCCTAAAGTTTCTTCTAGCCTATAATAAAAAACTATGGGCGACGCCTCCTTGGGCTGTGAAACAAATCTTTTCGTACTTTTGCATATAGTGACATGAATGAATAAGCCTATGAAACATTGAATCTTTTTGTTTCGTCGTTAATTCTTCTCGTTTAGTTGTGCTTGTTTTGTCAAGGCTTCAGTGCTGCCCAATATTGCGGCATAGTTTGTACTGAAGTGAAAAAAAAAAAAAAAACTTCAAGTAAACAGGACTGCCGCCTACGTACGTACCTTGATGGGGTCTTTCTGGTACAGTCGGTCCTGGTAAAACACCAAATCCGCAAGCAATGCCTTGGTTGTCTTGTTGATCTCGGGACTCTGGACGTGGTCACAGTAGCTGCTCGAAGTTGGAAAGCGAAAATAAAAAGGATTCGTCACTTCTGTAAGCCCCCTTCCAACTTAGCTGCAATATTCATTAAACCTGTGTCGGCCACACTAATAACATAAGTAAACAACCCTTCGTGTACAAAAGCAGTTCTCAGCTACCAGTGTTTTGGGAAACCTTTATGGAAAGGTGGAAGTTATGAAGGACTGAGTGAAAAAAAAGCGAGGAGGGGGGGGGGGGGCAAAAATTAACACTACATGTAGCGCGAAATAGGTGCCTTCTATTTCTCCCTTGGCAAAGAATGGTCGAACTAATATGCATGTCCATTCGATCTCAAATGATAGTCCGCTAAGCTGTGTGGTCTGCAGCCGCATTTAACCTTAATCTATCCATGCTTGCTCTTCAAACCTGTAAACCTACAAAGAGTATGCTCGTCTGCATACGTCACAGAAAAAGTGCAACAAAAGCTTTGAGCTTTGTAACCCTCCCATGAAGGAGAAACGCAAGTCAACTCCGTCGCAATGCGAATTTGATTTGCAGTTATGCAAACTAAAATAAGAAAAGGACAAGGTCGTGTGACACACCTAGAGAAAGTTTTTTTTTTTTACAGACGCATTTTGCGAATGTTATTTGTGAGTCAATGGTTTACGATGGCCTTCAGAGGCTTTCAAGAATCACGGTATGCAAAAGTTTTTATTGACAAGCGCAGTTAAGCTTGGCGCACGCCTATGCTTTTTTCCCGCATGATTGCAAAGCTCGGGATTCGACTTCAGACCAGGGAGACCGCGTTTTAGGTAGAGCAATAGCACACATTTAGTTCGATTTTAGGTACACTCTTCAGAGCCAGACGTTGTCACCAGGGCTACACAACAGCAGCGTTACTCATAGAAGTCATAACCATGCGATCATTTTAGCATTCAAAATATTAGACTCCCCTTAGGCCTACTCAAACTGCTACTGCTGAACACTTTACTTTCATTAAACAGCTTCAGTGAATTCAATCAACACAATTCACTTTAAAGGACCCCTAAACCACCTCCGATATTGTAACCCGAATGTGTTTTCTGCCGGGGTTCGCCACGGCACCACTGACGTATTTCCGTCACAGTTATGACGTTGTAAAACGCACACGAACAGATCGCAAAGCGAAAAGAACGAGAAGAAAAATGTACGACCTCTCGCTCCGCAGCGCGCGACGCAAGACCACTGGGCCACAGAACGCGCGTTGTCTGGCTTTCTAACGGCGAGCTATTTATATACACCATATACTGATGGCGCTCCTTAGAGCTCAGCACCTTCAGCGCGTTTACGGCACCAGTAGCGAGGGGGCGCGATGGGCTCACGTTGGGCACGCATTAAAGGTCCGTCGCCCCGCACGTTGTGATGCGCGCGCGCCCTGGGCGTAGTCGCTAGTGCGTGCGCGCTTATCTCGCGATTCGGGCACATCGTGCATCTTATGCTTCCACCGCAATTTCGCTTTGAAAGCTCGTTCACACCGAAGGCGGGGCGGCCAAAGCGGCAACGCGGGAAGCGGGTAAAACCTCCTCTCCAGGCTGCGAAAGCGGAAGAAAAACCAGGCGGCTAGGCCGATCGCTTTGCGGCAGCCAATCAGAACGCCACGCAGCAGAGGCGCGGCGGTGGCGCGGGTGTACGTTTGGGAGAAGCACTGACGCGTCATAGCGACACGTGCGCAAAATCGCTAGATGTCCCGCCTCTTCTGCCGCGCGGCCAGAGGAAGGAGGCATGCGGTCTGAACATGTTCTGAGGTTACAGTGGTTAAAGAGGGCACGAAGGTCACTCGCTTGCTGCCACGGCCGCGTTTACGAAAGGAGCGCGCTGCTCAAACACGAAGTAAAAATTGTGGCAGTCGTTCGCGCTCGTCCTGTGAATACGCGTATGCGTTCGTTTCGTGTCGAGCTGCGATAGTTGTTAGTGCGCGCTCGTCCTGCGTATGCTCATTTCCCGCGTGGTCTCTGCTCGAGGTGCGCGCTACAAGTTTCGAGCTGCTTGCCGTTCTTCGCGTGACAATTTATTGCTGTAGCATTCATTCCGTCACCCTTGCGGCGAAACGATGCCCCAAAAACGCTGAACTGCCCAAAGTTTTACTTTCGTGTTATGCCGATTCTACAGACAGAGGAATGAGCCGCGTTGTTTTTTTTTTAACGTTTAAATGAACACGCGCATCGTGGTCAAAGATTATTTATACCCCACGCGGCAGTGCTATAGACCGCGGGAGCACCAGCAAATTCCAAGATACAATCTTTTCTCCCCTCCAGTCCTTTCCAGCCTCGACCAGCACGGTGCTCCCCAGTGACGCTTACTGTCAGCAAGCGATGCTGCGATTGGTCGAGCAAGAACCTACAATTTCCGTTTACTCTGCAAGCAGCTGTCAACGTTCGAGCGGACGGTGCTCTGCCACGGCGTGCCACCGAACGTGCCCATTATGTTGGCGATACCTTGAAAGGCGCGCGCGCCAAACAGGGCCCACACCGGCACACTTCGTATATACAGGGTGTCCCACGTAACTTTAGCCAGAGTTTAAAAATATGCCAAAACACGTAATTACTACGCGACCAAATGCATGTTGCACATCGTTGCCTGGAGTTAGACTATTTCTTGTGTTCTCAAATAATGTTTAATTAGATCTGTTCAATTAACTAACTTTAGAAGGAACGAAGATTGATAAAATATTTCTATGAGAAAGTTGTAGATCAGTTTGCAAGACATCCAAATAGATAGTTTTGAACTTCACTATCTCTTAGGTATTAGTGTTTTCTGCTAATTACGAATTCCCGCGAAATACAAAAAATACCACGTGACAACCGGGCTTGCGCGTCAGTGCGCACGACGATTCTAGCGCTCCCTAATGTTCCGCGTAAGAACGACACGCTTCCTTCGCAACAGTTCATGACAGCGATAAGAAGTCACAGCAGTTATCGTTTTTCGTGGCCGATAGCAAAACGTGTTCATCCTAAAGCCACCACCATCGTTGCGGCCCTGCCTAGACAGCACAATTGGTCAAATGATATGGTTGTTCGTACGCGCAACGTAAGGAAGCACTCGAATTATTGTGCGCACTGGCGCACGAGCGACTTTGTCACGTGGTATTTTTTGTATTTCGCGGGAATTGGTAATTAGAAAAACACTAATACCAAATAGATATAAAGCTCATAACTGTCTAATCGGAAGTTTTGCAAACCGATCTACAACTTTATCATTGAATTTTTCACCTGTCTTCGTTTTTCGAAAACTTAGTTAATTATACATATCTAATTAAACAATATTTGAAAACACAAAAAAAGTAGTCTGACTAAATCGAGGCAACGGTGAGCGACATGCATTTGGTCGCGTCGTAATCGCGTGTGCGGACATACTTTTAAACCCTGGCTAAATTTATCTGGGACACCCTGTATATGAGCACGGGCCAGCACGGCGACAGCGATTAATCAAGAAGCATAAAGTTATCGCACGAAGTTGACGGAGTCGCAAAAGCCGGAAGTGTGCGCTGTTTCAGAACGCGTTGCGACGACGTACGGCTCACATGGCGAGGAAGGGAAGCGGCATTGCGAGAAGGAACCAGCCGACGAACGTAGGACATAGGGCGAAGGTAAAAGACAAAACGAGCGATCGCCTCGTTTCGGTCCTCAAATGCGTGTAACTAAGTTTTCGAGAAATCGTCTCCGCTAAGTGTTCGAACTTCATTATTAATAATAATATGTGGGGTTTAACGTCCCAAAACCACCATATGATTGTGAGAGACGCCGTAGTGGAGGGCTCCGGAAATTTCGACCATCTGGGGATCTTCAACAGTGCACCCAAATCTGAGCACACGGCCCTACAGCACTTCCGCCTCCATCGGAGATGCAGCCGGGATTTCGATCCCGCATCCTGCGGGTCAGCAGCCGAGTACCCTACAGCGACTAGACCACCGCTGCGGGGCTGTTCGAACTCCATTGTAGACTCGAGCACATCCACCAGCACCACAACTAAATTTCTATCCTCCGGGTGGTTCAGCGGCAAGCCCTATACCGCGGTGGTTTTCGTGGTTATGACACTCGACTGCTAACACGAAGGTCGCGGGATCGTAATGCCAGCTGCATTTTCGATGGAAGCGAAAATGTTTGACGCCCGTGTACTTAGATTTAGGTCACGTTATAGAACCCCAGGTGGTCGTCAAATTTACGAAGCCCTCCAATACAAGGCACCTCTCATAACCATCTGGTGCTTTTTGGGACGTTAAACCCCACATATAATTATAACAAACACCCGATGGTCTAAATTTCCGAAGCGCTCCCTTACACCTTACAACATGCCTCACAATCATATCGTGGCTTTTGCACGTAAAACACCGCAAGTTAACACTATTACTTACTCCCTAAATCTGGTAGAGTGCAACTGCTTCACTTCAGGCTGTGCTTCCGAGTTCGGCTCGATCCGTGACAGCGGCGTCTCCTGCAGGCCAATTTCTTCGTTGCTCTCCGTTGCTGGGTCCAGCTCGACGACCACTTCCGATGCCGAGTTTGCCAGGCAGCCCTGCCTGGCAGCCGTGAGGAGTCGCAGCTTCTCGCGACGCTGACGACGATCTTCGCGCTCCTTGATGATTATCTGCGAGCGCCGCGGTGCATACACGTAACCCCTTCCAATCCTGAAACGGCCGTCCTATGACGTCACCTGCGCGACGCGCTGTGACGTCGCCAGGCCCAGCCTTCGAAGAATGGTGACGTTTTTAGCGAGTACATACACGTGAAGTTCTAGTAACGTTGCACGTGAAGAGCATCCTGTACCTCGGTGTTTCGAACAATGTGTCCGAAAAATCTAAAGAAATAAGGGAAATGATACATTTGCTCGCTTGCTCACTAAATGCGTTTTCTATGTCAGCAGATATCTTAAAGCGACTAAAGAGGTCAACTACACCGATCATTACAGCAATTAAACTAACATTTCATTAAGAATCAGGCGGTATATATAGAGCTAAATGGTGGAAGGATCGGTACCGTACGTTTTTGGGAAGAGCCAATGGTCCCTCCGAAATTTCGAAAAAGCAAACGCTGCAAGGCAGTGCCTACGAAGTATTAAAATCACACAAACTTCGCCTGCAAAACCTAAACTGAAATGCGGAAGAAGAGCACAACTGCCACGTTCTTCAGAGACCTTCATAATGAGCGAGCGTACATCAACCCTGGAGCGACTTCATTTTGTGGGTCCGCAGGCTGCGCGCTTGCGGTTATGGCCATAGAGTCTCTTAAGATTAACTGTCGCTGCGATCGTTCAGCGACCATGGGAATGATGGGTAGTACACACATTTGCCTAGTCTTCGTATTTGCGGGCGGCGAATTGTACTTGCGGCTTCGTTTATGGCTGTGTTTCGGTTTTTGTTTTGAAAGAAATATTCAACCCTTTTGAACTTCATGACACGATTTGGAAAGGTAATTCTAAAAGAATAAGGTGGTGAAGCACAATCACTGAACATTTGCTGATTTTTTGTTCCAGCTCCAAGCCACACGAACACACACGGAGCCAAAAGCAGGCTAGAAGTAAGAAGATTAGACAAATGTGTGTACTACCCATCATTCCCATGCTCGCTGAAGCGCCGTGCGTTGCAGCTCCCATAGACACTAGCGCCAGGAATTCCCGCTAGTGTATATAAGGAAACTCAATATTTATGGCCACATGCTGCACATCGGTGAGCTAATGCAGATCTGTAGCTCCACTGCACTCGTCATAAAGAGAGGCATCATTGTGGTCGGGCGCCAGTGGCGCTCATCGGAGCTTCAGTTCCAGTTTCATTGGTACAATCGCTAGAATTTAATTAGTATTTCTGCAATAATTATCCGATGACACTTTTTTTTGAAATATAAGAGCGGCGACTGGCTATTCGGTGGAAGACTATTATAACATCTGAACTGACCAGCCTGCCTCCACACAAAAAAAATTAACTCCGAAGAAGTGTGCCGCTACGTAAAATGTAATTATTAAGGCGGCGAGAAACTATTCAATTTCCCTTATTTTTTTTAACTACATTTTTTTCGACACACCCTGCCCGTTGCCAGAAGCGTAATCAAGTACACTTGCAGCGAATGCAAACCAAAACGTGGGATGCTTCAATATCGCAAAATAGTTTGGAGCTGGAATGGCTGTGCGTTTATGCTGTAAAGCTTCGTCTTATAAGTTGCAGCACTGTTTCGAAACAGTTACATAGCTAGGAGCGGTGGAGGAAAGGACATGTGCACATGTGTGCAACAAGCTCCCCCCCTACCACACGCAATCTCTATCTACTTCAGACTGTTTGAAAAGGCGGGCTGTGAAGGTTACCCAAAACAAAAAGAAAACACTGCCGATAAATATATAGTCGAGGCTCCCGAGACCACGCGAGCCAAATATCATAGCGCAGCGCGCGGCCTGTAATTTGCGATTCTCAAAAACACCTAGAAAAACCTTGCCTCTTAGCTCAGCACATAATGCCACAGCCCGAATTACTGTGCCATACAATAAAATATCTGCGGCCAGTGGCTGATATGACCATCACGAGTTGAACAGTTGCCTGGGTCGCCGCGCGATGTTGCCACATGCCCCCTAATCAATTTCAAAGAGCGCGTTCGAAGAAACAATAGTGTTCAAGGTTATCACAAGTGTTGACAAAGAGACGAATCTTTTTACCGCGTCTTGCACCTCCCTGCGTATCTTTTAGTGCGCTCGCCGGTACAGAGAGAATAGGTGACCAGTAAAAGAGCGTGGAATTGTGGGATGCACCGTCTGCTACCGGCTTCCCGTTCGAGAAGAGTAGACGACGGTGAACCACTTCGCCCGAAGCCTCAGATCATTCGGAATTCACGCGCGCGGTTACCCGTTTATCTTCGTCCTGATAAACCATGGTAGGTTGTTCAGCCGTTGGCTGCTTCAACTTGAGCGTGAAAGGCAAGCGGCGTGTATCGATTCCCCTGGAACGAAGAAATAAAAAAAAAATGAGGTGGGCCGCGGCTGTGAAGAGAGCCACAACGAGAAGTAGCCTTTGAGTACGGAACGTTGAAGCCAGAGTGTGCGAAAACCATTTTATCATATACGTGTATATTCTACACTAAAAAAAAAAGCTTACGTATGAATTTGCTACGAATATTGAGAAATAAATTCTCGCGCAAGCACCTCGCAAATATATTATGGGAACGCGCGGGTGAAATCTACCTGCCATACGAGACGAGCGCCCGCCATTGCACCCATATATATGGCAAACAAGGCAAAAGCTTCACTCAAGACGTAAGTTATAGCGCGAGAACAAAACGACGACACAGAGACAAGAAGGACACGAAAGTCTCTGTGTCGTCGTTTTGTTCTCGCGCTATAACTATCGTCATGCCATACCAACTAGCCCAAGCTGCCACACTTCACTCAAGAGTAAGTTTACACGAAGCGCTTGACGAGTGCACTTGCGTTTATCTTGGTCAAACTGTGCGCCAGGACGGGAATCAAAGGAAGAAGTGCGTGGAACAAGCGCAGGGTTTAGATTATTCAGCGCCGCCTATGTCTGACTTGTGCCGCCGTGCCGCGCAGCTTAATCAAGATCAGCGTTTATATAAGCATCTGGCTTCGATTAAGAAATGCATCTTATAGCGCGCAGAAGGCGAGAAAAAAATCTAAATTCGCTCAATAAGTACTGCGCTTCATGTCGATCGACCGACGATGTCGGTCGAAGCAATGATCCCGAAAGGAACTTTTAGCACACTGCTACAGTCATCTCCACCTCCTGAGATCTTTAAAATAGATGATTTTTTTAATTTGCAGCAACGTATTATACAATGAAAACTGTCTTCCGTATCGACCGATCTGCTTGCCAAACAGAGTACCCCCAGCAGCATAAATGCATTGCAGATCATCTTAGTGCGATAAAAAAAGTTTCCTTACCGTTCATGGCTTTTGTAGCTTGTCAATGTCACAATCACGGTTAGCAAAAACAAAAAAAACAACTTCTAAAGCACTGCAATCGCACGGAGAGGTGTTTTTTTTTTTTTTTTTTTTTCAACGGAGCGGTACAAAAATGCGCGCGTGCCGCTGCTAACCAACGTGATGCGTCGAACCGGAAGCCGTCGTATCCCACAGTTCCCTGCGATTGCGCATATTACCGGTCACCTATTCGCTTGAAGCGCGCGACGAAACCTTGTAACTCCACTCGTACTAAAGGATTGCAAAATTTTCGCGACAACGAGCACTCTAGAAGCTATTCGATGATTAATTGTAAGTATCGCAGGGCCATTTAGCAGGTTACAATCAAATTCCAACCGCCTGTCTGCCAGGTGGTGGGTGGGGGGGGGGGGGGTGAAAATTTTGCTTTCGCATTTAGTGTAAACGCACGCACGAACATACATAAATTATGGTTAAAATACTCCCCCACCCACACCCAGAAAAAAAGTTTCTGGCTACGCCTCTGCTGCCAGAAACTTTTTACCTCAACACTGGTGTTGAGGTAATAGGAGGGATTAAGAGGAATTGACAGCCAAGGCAGACGCTGCTTCGCTTCGTCTTCGCGCGATAACGACGTCGAACGCGACAGGCCACGTGACCCGCAACACTGCACACTCGCGTCGGCACCACGTGGCGAAGGCGCGAGTTTCCGTTCTTTCCGCTGCAAGAATACGGTGCACGAGATGCCCAAGAAGTTCACAGAGACATCGTACTCACCAGAATTGAGGTTTCCAGGCTCGGGAATTTCGGCTAGGCGCCGAGCCAGGTCAGCCAGGTTATGCCGCAACATTCGTATACGGAACAAGATTCTTTTATCCACTTTGTACGGCCGAGAAACACGCCGCCGTTCACGGAGCCAAAAAAGTCGCAACCCCTTTAAGATGTTTGTATGAGATATGCAAGGGCCAGAAAAAAAAAAAGAAAAGCCGCTGCATCCGACGAAAAAAAAAATTGCCCGCAGCTTCCCTCGGGGGAACACTGAGGAGGATGCGGAGCATATAATTGGTTAACGGGGTGTTAAAGTGCGACTTACTTGGGTCGATGGCTAAATTGGTTAACGTGGTTGTGAAATGGGGTGTTAAATTGCGACTTACTTGGGTCGATGGCTAAATTGGTTAACGTGGTTGTAGGAGGGGGTGTTAAATGAGTGAACACGTACACACGTATGCGAAAGGACGGCGCTGGTCGAAGGGACGTCGATCATTGTGTTTGTGGATTCGTTGGAATTCATTTCACCGCGACCTTGGACGTCGACGCGCCGTACAAACCAACCGACGAGCGGCAACTGAGCGAGCGAGCGCCGACCTTGAGTATATATACAGCGCTACGGCGCATGCACTGTCAGCTGTTGAATGTTCTCGAAGGAGAAGCGCGCGCGCGGCACAGATGGCGACGGCGCATGCGCTGTCAGCTGTCGAATGTTCTCGAAGGAGAAGCGCGCGCGGCACAGATGGTGGGTGACGGCGCGACGGCGCATGCGCGCGCGTCAGCTGTCGAATGTTCGAGAAGCGGTGCGGACGGCACGGACGGCGCACTACAAGGCGAGTGTATAAGATGCTTCCGCATCTAAAACAGTCACTCATGCGTAAAAAGCATACGTACGTGCGTAATTGGCAGCTATCTGTCGCGCGACGGGCGCAGAGAAAAACCAGGAGGTAGCATTACGTGACAAGCTTGAAGTCTAGTCATAAAAAAATTAGGGGGAAGTAGGCCCCGGTTATGCGAAAGGCAAGCACTACTACTATTGGCCGGCTTGCTTCGTTTCCGTCGGTTGCGCGGAGCCTTCTCGATCTCATTGGTCGGGAGGGGCGGAGTCAGAAGTTAGCTTGCAGAGGCTAGCGGAATCACGTGACGATCTTCCAGTCTTTTTTTTTTCTTCACGATTTAGCATCACTGCTTCTCGGCGCCTCCTTACACACAGAAGACAGTTACACGCTTGAGGAGTCACGACCTCTGGTAATTGTTGTGACTATAATGTGTGCATGAAAAACAACAACAACAAAGGAATCGTGCTTTGCTCAAAAATAATGCTGCCTTACCACAAAGCCCGCCAGGGTGAGCACGTGTGCTGCAATCGCCGGTAACATGCAGCTGTCCTCCTGAGGGATAGTGGCAATCTACTTGAACTGGTACTATAGCGCATTACGGGGAAGAAGAAACGGCCGAGCAGACCGACACAAGAGGACATAGCGCTCTGTCCTCTTGTGTCGGTCTGCTCGGCCGTTTCTTCTTCCCCGTAATGCGCTATACCAGTTCAAGTACGACGAACCAACTCGCCCAATCTTCAACACTCGTCGCAATCTACCATTCACGATTTCAGATTGCTTGCCGAATGTGCTCCACACCAGTCTTATTTTTCTAGTTACTTCGGACTGCTATACCTCTGTATACGAAAAAAAAAAAAAAAATGGCCGTGCGTCGCAAGGCTACGCGAGGCCCTTCAGCTGGTCAGCTCCGAAGCCCGGTCAGCGCTCACACGTCGACTCGATACTCCACGTTGTGGACAGCACTATATTGAGCAAATGTGACGAGGAGGAGCGTTTGCCTACTTTTTTCATGACCGACAGCTTTCTGCGGGCCGGAGTTTCGCGCTCCTTGCCCCGCTTCTTGCTGGGTGCAGAGGAATCCAGGCGGTTCGCCACCAAGCCACACCTGGCCACCTACGAGAAAACGGGCCGCCACGCCAGGTGACCACCGTCAGTGCCAAAGCCTGACGCAATTACTGCTCTACTCTCTAACTGGCGGGGTGCTCCAGCAAACTCAGTTTGGCTTTTTGTTTTGTACGACTATTACTGGTGCCCAAATAAGGCTCGCATATCTCAATCCTTCTCCTCACCAGTAAGGATGTGCTCAGAATTATCGCCAGCTGCCCACCCATTAGTCAATGGCGTAGCCAGGCGGGTGAGCGGCGTGGACATCGAAAATGTTCGCGACTTGTGAACTCGAGTTCAAAAGCCACGAACATTTTCGCGGCTTTTGAACGTGTATACGTGTACACATTAGAACCTCTTGTCGATACGTTTCCGCTTAATACGATTTCTCCTCTACTACGCTCGCAATCGCAAAAAGAAAATCCGTTCCGTATGATACATTTTCCAAGTTTTCTTTTTCTCGGAAAAGTATTAACGAGGTCCTACTGTATACACGTGCAAATGCACGTACAGAAAAGAATACGTCTCTGGCAACACTCCTGCCACCCTTCCGACCGGATTGAGCCAGATTGATTTATGGGGTTTAACGTCCCAAAACCACTATTTGATTATGAGAGACGCCGTAGCGGAGGGCTCCGGAAATTTTGACCACCTGGGGTTCTTTAACGTGCACTCAAATCTGAGTATACGGGCCTGCAACATTTCCGCCTCCGTCGGAAATGCAGCCGCCACAGCCGGGATTTGATCCCGCGACCTGCGGGTCAGCAGCCGAGTACCTTAGCCACTAGACCACCGTGGCGGGGTCCGGATTGAGCCAGCATAACACCTAGTACAACGAGGTGTTGCCCTCGGCAAACGACGGAGCCACGTCGTGTGCTTACTTGGGAGTTCAGGGGAAGGTGAAGGCCTGAAGAGATGGATATTCTTCAATATGGGTTGTCACTCGAGCCAATGTAGTTTCCGTTCACCACCCCTCCCCCCCCCCTTTTGCAGAATATTCATCTCTTCCAAGCCTTCATCTTCCCCTGAACTACCAAAGTTCACATATGAATTTTCGAGATAGTGACTGCCAAGAAATTAAATGAACTGACACGCATACCCTCCCTGGTGCCAAAGGTAGACTCAAGCGAAGGATGCTGCAATGTCAAAGAGGCAACGACAAATGAGGCACATTTCTAACCTACGACGGAATTTCATTGGCCTGTCCATAGCATTGAGAGGTGCATACAGCGTGCTGTTCAAACTGCTTCAACTAGTCCAATAGTCATTCAATTTGGACTCGTGACCGCTAGGCAGTTACACTAACAGTACTTCAGGTGAACTCTACAGGTAGCTGGTTAATGATATCTGGAATGGAATGTCCTAAAACCGCAATTTGATTATGAGGGACATCGTAGTGCAGGGCTGCAGAAATTTTGACCACCCGGTACTCGGTATACACCGACATCGCACTGTACACGAGCATCTGGCATTTCACCTGGATCAAAGTGGGCCTGCCGCAGCCGAAAATGAACCAACGACCTTTAGGTCAGCAGTTGAGAACAATGCACCACAGTGGCAGACCAGGGGCAGCTGGTTTAAAAAGCTATAGCACTTGAAACAATGCTGACAAGTAAAGTTATCACTGCTGTCTCACATGCCAATGGCTCACACGCCACAATTAAATTGAGCTTCCTCGGTGAGTGATAGCCTTCGAAATTCACAAAAGGAATGCACTAAATCATCAAGCCCCAGCGTATCCCTTAAATGGCATTTCCTTCTGGCTGAATTCCCCAAGAAATTTATGCCAATTCATTCTCAGTGTTATCAATGAAAAAGCTGCAATGCTCAGTTCTTGCATCAAGCAAGATACCATCCAACGTGCAAATCAAAATCTTAGCGCAGCCAACAATTTATGCTTAAAAGAAGCTGCTAGTGATGGCAGTCTGCCCTCCCCTCCTCACACTTCACCAATGGTAATATTTTATAGACAGCAGCACTTCATTTCTTTAACTTGCTCTCAAAGTGTCACAAAAACTGTTGTTGGTCCTGTCCCAAAACTACCTGTTTGAAAGGCATTGTGTTTAAATATGCCTCTTCTTTGCTTTGTGTCTGTGTTTACCCCCGCGCTCCCAGTTCGCTGAACCATCATGAATTACCAACTAGCCCACCTTTACATCCTATTGCATAGTTATTTTCGCCAAGTTTTCTTTAACATACATGGAATACATAGCTTCGAGTCCTTCGTACTATGGCCCATTCCTGGCTACAAGCTTACCTCTTAGAACCACAATTACAAAAGAATAAACAGCAGCAGTATGTCTACATGAATGGCATATTTAAACAAAAGACCACCCTCGTACCTGAGACATTTTTCACACTCGCACAGAGGCATTAGAGAGCCGTGGACTACAGCAGGGGCCGTCAGCTAAAGCAGAGGGCGTAGATCGCAGAGCTAGTGTTCCACCGCCACCACCCCCCAGTCCTAAACCTCTGACTTCAGACGCAAAAACTGGCGGCCATGTATTGCTAAACCAAACCTCCTCCTCAACTGATGAGACAAGCCTAAACAATTAGGTAAGCAGACAGTGCTGAAATGCACAATACACTTGTATAGATCTTTGCAACTGTGTAAACTCTCGTTTGTGAATCTTGTAGCATAGCTTGAAAGGGTGCTGCAGGAAAAAAGGTAAGGGTAAAACAGGAGGAGGAAAGGAGCTGCTTCAGAACACCAGCTGCACACAAGTGCAGAGTTGTTTTCCTCGTGCTCCACATTGCGTTCTCCAGTGTCCTGCTGCAGCTCTAGTGCTATAAGACATTGCTGAACCACTTCTGCTGTGAGAACATTGTTCTTTTTGCACTGCAGATAGACAACATAACTATGTATTGAGCAATACTGTGAAATCCGATTTTGTGAAATCAAATCCTCTTGGGTCTAATCAGAGAATAGGCAGCAGTCAACAATTTCTGCAACAATTCGCTACTTGCATTGCAAACAGCATTTGCAGTGAGACTGCTGGGTGTTCATCTCACCATGGTCCTGCAACTAGACAGTTGGCAGTTGCAATTGAAACAGAGCCAGGAATTGAACAAACTGGATATTTTCTTTCTTAAAAAATTCACGCATCAAAAACACGTCATGCATATTCACACAGAAAACAGGCAAATGTTGACAAACATGATTAGGAAGAATAAGTGCAAATCGAAGAAGAAAGCAACCACTCATTTCAAAACACCGCTAAAGGCAGCCACAAAGAGCTAACAACACAACCAGGAACTACCTAAAAACTTAGTGCGCACAAACAACATATTAAACTCAGTTCTGTTAGTCCATGGTGACTTCACAACTATTGTCAACTTGTGCGTTCTTAAAGAACCTAGTACATTTTCAGTCACATCTAAGCTCTTGATATTTCTTTCTTCAGGACTAAGAAATTTCACTTAAAGTGAACAACTGACACAGTAAACAATCTGGGTTTCTTTTCATCGACACCTAGAAACACAGATATACTAAATGAGCCTTTAAACAAACCATGGAAGATGCAGGGCTAGGACAAAGCAACAGTATACATCCAACAAAGGTGAACAAATATGTATATAAATCTACATGACATCCTACTTTCAACTCTCGTGATACATTATATTAAAAAATTGCATAAAAAGCAGACAGTTTCACACCATAGTAGCTTTTTTTTCTCTAATTTTCGTGAGGAACCTTGCCATGCTACGGTGCTGATGTTCAGCTCTCACCCAAAGCAAGCTAGAAATATGGAGGCAAAATTAATATATGAATGTCATAACATCCAAGAAGGAAAAAAAAAATACATTATTATCTTGGATGTAGGAGAATGCAATGACTCCTTTTATGGTAGAAGTTAGTATGAGGATATGTTAGCTGTTCTTTCAGATGCAAAAGTTCTTACAGTTCTCACTACAGCTAAACTCTCAAGCTGCCGACGCACCTACATAGCCACAATTCATTGCTGATCAATGGGAAACAACAGCTATATAGCATTTAAATATTGCGACAGCTCCTATAATGTAAGTATACCCTTTGCAATATTGCCATTCTCACAAACAAAAAAAGCGATAAATGTTATAGTACATTTAGTAGCCTCTGGCCGTCCACCCATGCAGCAGCGATTTCGCATACAAACAAGGCTAAAGCATATTTTCATAATTCACCTATACGTTAACAGTCAAATGCAAGGTTTTTGAAAAATTGCCTCTGCTTGTAAAGTTCATTGCACACCAAGGCAGTTTTAAAGCCAACATTAAAGGGCATGCAATACTAAGCTCTCCTGCCACTGACATAGCTATTAGTGCCAACGATACAGTAAGCGCATAATCAAAATGTTTCAAAGCTGCTTGGTAACAAAAATTGGTCAGCTGATCTACAGTACTCAAACTCCCATAGAGCATGCAAAATACTTCAAAACTCAGGAAAAATAGCTGTGGAGCACTGCCAACCCTGCCAAGTCACTCTCCACAGTAGATGCAAAGCAAGTGGCTTAATGATGTGCCGACAAATGCTCCCTCGTGACATCGAAGCTGTTCGTTATAGGTCCACCTCTGGAACACATTCGAAGAAAGAGCACGCTGAAACTTGCAAACAACTTTCATGGGTTTTCAGGTGCTCCCACCGATATTCCTTCGCAACGAGCCTGGGCTGCTTCAAAAATTGATAGTACCTTTTCCAATGAGAAAGCAGTGTTTGCTTCTTTGAGACGTGTCCTGAATATGCCAGTAAGAACAATCACTAATGCCTAGGGCTGTGCAACACACTGGTGCTGCAGACACACTGGTTCATAGCACAAGTGAAAAATTCAGCAGCATTGAAACATTTTCTGAACTATATTAGGACAATCACTTTGCCTTCGCACGTGTAAATTCCTACTCTAGTAATGGTCAGCTCAGAGCACCGTACCTACATACAGCAGCGAATTCGGACATATCCGCGACTGATCCACAAGCTTTCGAGTATCTTGCTATTTAATTTCGCACAACTCGGACTTTCCTTTTCAGAGGAGCTAGCTGTGGGTCAATTTCGAGTAATGTATGCATCTCGGTTGCAAAGGCTAATGGGAAGAGAACGACAAAGCCCATTAGTTGCTCAATTACCACAAAGTTCTCTGCCAGTGGGTTAGGCTAGATACTTTGTCAACAAGTGTTATTTTAGGCAAAGCAACTTCTATGTCATAATAACGATTGAACATTTCGTTGGCTGCATGTCAGCCACTGCAACTATAAATCCAGCAGCCGAAAAAAGTTGCTGCGCTACTTCTACGGTGGCTTTGAGACTTGCACGCAAAGCTCTCTCATTTGCCCCTACTACATAATGTCTCTGAACGTGTAAAAATGCACAACTACAAACTACTTTCTAATTATTATCCATTAAAAATCTAGGTCTGCTAAACAACTTACTACAATAGCTATCAAAGTTGAGGGAAGTAATGTACGTCTGGGTGGCAGTTACGTTAGCCAGTAGAAGGCAGACACCCCGACAAGAAACAGTGCAAAATGTCTCAAGTTGCTGCCAAGTTTGTACAGGCAAATGGCCTGGGCGTGGCTTTCACATGCAGCTAAGGATATTTCGAAAGCTTAACAAAAAATGAAAAAAAAAAAAAAAGGCGACATAAAATGCAGTGCGAGAGATAAAGAGCACATTCAGCTCGAATGTGGACATATTCTTGCCAGAAGTTACGAACAGTACAAATAACTTAAGTATAGCCACTTTCAGTGCAACACGTTTTCACTTGCACACCCATACACAGAGAAAAAAAAAGTGATTGCTCCGGAGCGACAAAATGACTGTGGAATGGCATTTCAAGGCTCAACTTCCCCTTTCACTTCTCGGCCTAGCAGTCTCGGAGTACCACAAGCGCCCAGCAATTAGGCGCAAGTCATCAGGTTTCACCGGTTGGCACGTACAAATAAAAGATCTGGATGGGTGCAAGTAATGATGTGAAAGAAAACACACTATATCCCAAACAGCATTACCTCACTCGGTAGTGCTGCCGATAATCACAGAAATACGTCTATAAAATCTTACAATCACAGAAACTGAATCAATCTAGTTCATGCAACAAGAACAAAATGCTACTAAGCAAGTCTTGCTGTCTGTAGCTACAAGTATAGTCTCTCAAAAAAGAATAATGCAGCATAAAACAGTCGCTTTGACAAGTGGAAAAGTTGTAGTGCGATGTTACACATCCAAGTGCTGCTGAGTGCAGAGTTAACGAAAAATAAAGCACGAGAATAGAGTAGTGACATTGGGGCTCGCACACACAAAGGTTCCACGCTAAACTGAAGTCTGGGTGTCAAGTCCAGCTCTCAGGTCAAGAATAGAATAAACATCAACCGTACAGTCTTCTGGACTTCACAGAACTAACATACCACAGCCGTGCAAAAGGAGAGAAAGAATGTCCACCACAGAAGATGCATTGTGCGAAAACGTCGATCCCTGAAGTGAATACCAGCACGAACACACAGGCGACGTGCCGTAATTTCTACAGTAGATAACAGTGTGCTGCAGGCCAGCAAACTAGTAGCAGCTACATTTCAGATCATCTTTTTCACATCGTATTGCTGCTATGGGACAAGTCGAGACACGATTATCACTCCCACTGAAGTTTCGAGAGCAGCGCGATGCCAAAAAATTGTCATGGCAAAACGAAACCAAGAATGCAAATGCTCTCCTGCGTCTAGTATTGCACGTCTCGAAACCTAGTCTAGCTATCTATCTCCACACGCACAGAGAGTGGGAGAGAATTTCTTACAATATCAGTGCTACTGTGACATCTCAAAAATGGCAGCTAACGACTCCATGTGAAACCGCTTGTGCTTTCAAAGCCAGCTTGCTGACGATTTGAAACTACATGTGCTTGCATGAAGTTTTTGGGAAATTTTTTTTCCCCCCGCGAAATAAACCACAAATTTACTGTACTTTTGTAGTGAAGAAGCTTGAAAACACCAAACCCCTGTCGTAACATTGGTTCCCAAATAAGCATTCACAAATCTGTACATATTTGCAGACTAAACATTTCACGTTGCTTCGAAAAGATGCTTAGCTTCCAAGCAAGCCCCAGCCATAATATAAGTCTTTCTGATCTAAAAGCACACTGCACTGAACCTTAGAGTTGCTTTTTCAAAGTGTTTATGCCTTGAAGATGGATGAATTTTGTTTTTCATGTTTAGTGACCACAACTTTCTTGTGGTCAACATTCTTAGTAATCTGCAATAATTATTAGCTAGCTAATTTGAAGCAGTAATAAGTTAGAAGCTGCCACTGTTAGCTTACGTAACCACTGTGGAAGTGAACTAGTCCTTGTTCAAATGGAGAGTTCCACAGTCACTTCAATTAACAAAAGCTTGAATAAATGTGATAAATACATAATGATAAGGAGCATTCATTAATGATGATGACAAATAAAGATGCATTCTTATTAAAATTCAGTGAAATGGAGTCAGTAGAAAGCAAAAAATCTCATTCCAAAGCTATTACAAGAAAAGCTAAGGCTACTATAAAGCTACGTCGATAAATAATAATAATATTCAGACAATACAAAATACCTCTATCTTACTAACAGAGAATCTGCTAGCCAGCACAATGAAACACTAAACGATGCATTGGCAAAGGCCTTTGCAATATTGATTCACAATGAATCTACTTGTGCGATTGAACAAGAATTACATTGCACCCACAACAGGGCTGGTTTCTGCATTGGCTGAAGCCCATACAAACACACCTGCACTGCGGAAAAATGCACATTAGTTGTGCGGAGACTGAGAGTGCCCAAAAAATAAGGCTCCTTCTATTACAAACAAGCTAGACACGCTTACTAACTGAACATGTCTTTGGGGTGCCACAGAGCAATGTAATTCTACGTGCAAGCACAGCCAACAAGGAACACAGACAACTGTTCATATGTACACATAACACACACACAGTCAGTCTAGGCACAACATGACTTGTCTCAAACAACATCCAACACTAGTAATACTTGCTAATGATGTTGCAGTGGTAAAACAATGCAACTGGTTCATCTAAGAATGTTGCATTACAAAATCACTTTCCTAGCCAAGTATCAAAGCACACACAGCATACAGAAAAGCAAGCTCGAGCGCTGCCCCAGCCGGGCGAATGAATCTCTCAAACATAAGTGATGCAGCAATAACACACTATGTACCCAGGACTAAGTATTGTCAGATAAAGACGTCGCCTAGCCTAACACATTGCTTTCTACAATGCACAGCCAAAACCAGCGATTTAATTGTGCCGCATAGTAAGCAGGACAAGAATGTACAAGTCTTAAAAAAGACTCTGGTAAGGTACGAAAATCTTCCCCAGAAGCTCAAAACAGACATGTGGCCATGAACGTTGTAAATCCAATGCATGTTCTCTGCAGGCACACTACGAAACCCAGCGGGCGTCTTTTTGCCCGCACTAATGACAAGTCCCTCCAAAAATTCTTAATACTAACAACTGCGATGGTGGCTACATTTGCACAAAATGAGTTGTACCTTCTATGGCATGCTTCATAACACTCCTGCGATGGTTACTAGAGCTGCAGCAAGTGCACGAGACAGCATACAAAAACACACATGCTTCATTGGCACAGGTCACACGCCACGGGGAGGGCACGATGAAAAATGTCCATCAGGTAGCGGCGAGCATTTCAGTACAGAGAGTCAGGAGTTTGTCTTGAAAGCATGGGTAAGTGGCAAGCAGCAGCCCAGGCTGTTTTGTACAAGCACTGAGAGCAACATAACCTAAACACATTACCCAGTGAATGAGGCTTGAACTGGAAAATTTTGTGTGCAGCAAACAACCAATTGTTTGGTAGCATTTGCATCCTACCAATAGATTACACTGAAGTGCCGACTTAAGTTGAGATGGCAAAAGCACTCCATGACTGGCGAGTTCATGATATTGTCAAACTAAAGGGAGGGATGGCGCAACGAGTGTCCTGTAAAAACACTGCAATCCATTTCGTAAAGCAAGGTGTGCAGTCTGCTTGAGCAGGCAAACGAAACATTAATAACTAAATGAACGTGGGCCTGCGACACCCGACAAGATAAACTTGCCTGGGAATGGGAAAATAGCACACTGTTACGACTGAAACACACCTGTGCTCGGCCAATCGTGGACTTGATAAATAAAAATTCTAAAAGACAGCACGCTGAGCAAAGGCAAAAAAGGGAATAGCATGAGCTCCAGACAACTGCAACAACATTAGACTTTCACTGTCAAGGCAAGAAAACACTCGTCTCACTAAAAAGCAGCATGCCTTCTCAGAAATATGGTCAATATGTTGCTCACGCTAGGGCCACTACTGATGCAGCATGAATTTTGAGAACACCAAAGTGCCGCGACCCTGGTATAAGAAATGCCGAGCATGTCGAGAAACTACAGGCCTCGTCTTAAAACACATTTCAAACTGGCACGAGCTCAGATGTAAAGAACACGACCACATTAACACAGCACTGAGTAGCAGACACGACAAGGCGGCTTGGCCCAACAAAAGGCAAATTGTTCTGGAATCATGGCAGGCCAAGAGATGAACAATAATTGTTTTCCCCCCATCTAAGTTGTCTGCCAAAGCACAGCACGCTTCCAACACTCTCCTGACGTCATTCATCTATAGAGAGAAAGGGAGAACTGTACAACTGATGTGCCTCGTGTTAGCACAACTAATGGCCTGTTGGGGCACAGCCACGTGTCTGCCGGCACCCCAAGTGCATCAGACGACGCTGGGTGGCGACGGTGGTCGACACACAAGCAAGCGCCCCCGCTACACGTACGGCCCCTGCTGCTTGGAATGATCGAGTGGGACTTTTTTTTTTTTCAAGGCTGCCAGCTGCCTACCTCAGGCTTCTTGCTGCTTCGTTCAAGCAGGTTCTCCTTCTCCTTAAGCTTCTTGGGCTGCCTCTGGGGAGGAGAGTAAAATAAACGATGCCGTTCAAACAAACAATGCCCAAAGCAGAACCCAGCATAGCATTGATGACACTTGCATGAGATTTCCAACGCGCCAATCCCTCATGTGATCATAAAAAAACTGTAATGACAGTTACCTAAAGTAAGGCCGTGAAGCCCAATATCATAGGCCCAGTGCCCATTTAATATATTTGCACGCCAGTGATAACGTCAAAAGAATCCAATTTGTTTTCAGATAACGCTGTTGTAAAACACTACTGTGGTTGACGCTGATGTCATAATGGAGAGTGATGGCTGTATGAACCCAGACTGAAACACACGCAAAATATACTGTACACACAGGCCTTGGGTCGAAGTCTAGGTCGCAACAAGGCAACCTAGCTAATTGATGGTAGAAATTCTGGAAGACCAATGCGGTAGACAGTTTAACCTCTAACGGGTGCAACCACTAATGGCTGAGTGCTATAATGGACCAATCGTGAACCCAAGTGACAAGACCATGTCTGAACTTCAAAATACTAATGCTTCAAAGAAAAAACAAAAAGGGTGTTAAGAATGCTTTAAAGGCACTTTTAGCAGCTTTTCATCAAGCATGGGCAGTCACAGGTCAGTCATCATTCCAGTAGTGTCCGGGATGTGACTGAAACGGCCGAGGAACGCGTGGACGAGGTGTTACACATTTGATTCTTTCGGGAGCACGACGACGGCCACGAACACTGTTGAAACAAGGCTCCTGAAACCGCGCAAGCAAGCACATGCTCAGGTGACCAGACAGTCACAGTTACAGAGAACTATACTACTGTATGAGCAACTCTCAAATCTGTGCCATACCAACAGTCACTGCACCTCGTGGAAAAAAAAATAAAAAATAAAACACGCAGTACCACGGCTAATATTTGAAGCTACTGCTACAATTTCATATACAACTTAAGTTAAATATACTCAATCTAAACAAGATAACAAAGTATCCCTCCCCACAGTTATAAGGCCACAAAAAAAGAACATCTGTTATGTTACAGCCACTGCTCGATGCTGTGCGACAGTCACATATACAGCTGAAGCTAGGTACACTGAACCTAAACAAGATCACAAAGCAGTTCTTGCATATAGGCAATTTTAATAATGAGATAAAGCCTACAAGATAGGACCCTTCACTACAGGGTAGTTTTTCCCATTACTATACTTCACAGAAGAAGGGTCATGTTGCATAAATTTGCTAAAGCTGGTCACTACAGAGTACTCATAATTGCGAACACTGCCCAAAAGTTTGTTTCACCTGATCTCGCTCCAAAAGCGCTAGAATGGCTATCTCATGAGCCCCCCCCCCCCCCCCCCTTCTTTTTTTTCAACGAGTGCCGCTCCAATGAAAATCGCAACAGTCTGAAAGATTCGCTAGCGGCAGAACATCTGCCTAATGGTCTGAATATCTGAACAATGGGAACATCAGACAAGCAAGCACAATGACACGGACAGCTCGTGGCGGGAACACAGAACAGTGTTGCGCGACGCCCACCACTCTGATGCAGTTGTTTCTTCGGTGTTGTCGAGAAGATTACCAGAAATATTTCCTCTGTTTCTCAGTGTATTATTTGACCCATGCATTTTTAAATAAGCACGCTGCGGTGATGCAAAGTCCATATATTTCGAGAACACTCGGCTCTTCAAAAATTTTTATAAATACAGAATAACCTTGTTACAACGAATCTGCATACAACAGCGATTCGGATGCCATACAGCAATTGGTGCCATTATGCTGACCACCCCATTTGTTCCATTGATTGAGGTTCGCTTACTATGGATTCTGGTACAACAGACATTCGGATATAATTGACTGAAATGCGAGGCCAGCAAGGTGGTCAGGACTCCTTTACAGCGGATTTTTCTACCACGAACCATCCCCAATTAAAAACTTTCCTACTCAAACATCGGCATACTTTCAGTATGGGAACAGCGCGCCACAGATATAGACGTACTGATTTAAGAACGAAGGCGACAGATGTATTGATTTAAGAACGAAGGCTGCCAATCTACGTGTTACAATGTTGGTTCAAATGCAGCGCCCCCACGCGGCACTGATAGTTGTGTTGAGCTGTGCAAGCTTGGCACAGCGGCGGGGTGGCCGTTTTGGGAAATAATAAAACACAGTTCGTTCTGGGCTAAGGGCTCAACATGTTCTCGTGTTCTTCGCGGGCCTGATGGCCTACTGTTCACGGTAGTCACTACCGCCTGGCTATCAGTTAATCTACACATGTAACACTACGGTCTGCTAATGGTCAGTTATGCCAAACTAAAGCGACAAGAAGATCAGCGAGCAGCGGACTTGGTCTTGCATTTTGGAGCGCCGATGGGTGAAATTTCCAGCCACTGCTCCAAAGAAATGCTACGCAACGAGCCTGGCCGAAGGGTCCGCCGCCAATAAGCAAAATGCCCACCCGCAGCGCCGAGTAGCCAGTGGGAAATGTAATTCGTCACTTTCGATGAAGCACACTACGACTTCTTCGGTTTCGCACGTTCCCTAAAGTGATGACTTCGCCCGCAAAGTTCGGAGCAGTTAGGCCGAGCTACAACTTCGAGCAGAAATCTCGGTTGCGATGTGCATGGGCACGGTGCTCGATGTTTCAAAGCATGTCATGTTCTACTGCGAGTATAAAAAGTTGTCTCGCAAAGATCATCATGAATGATTATACGGGGGGGGGGGGGGGGGGGGGGGGGGTGCGAGACTCGAGTCTGCGAGCTTTGCGACGAGTTGGCGCGCAATTGTAACCAAATAACTGAACTTTCCCTAGCGGCCGCCTTAGCCACTTCGCGACACAGAATGAATGCGAAAACGTCACTCAGTAGCAATCGGATTGCGAGTCGTTCTCGCAAATCGCTCTCGCTACTTACCGTATTTACTTGATTCTACCGCGCCCTCGATTGTAACGTGCACCCGATTTCCACCGCGAAAAAAAAAAAAAGTAAGACATCGATTGCAACGCGCACCCATTTTTCTCGCTGGCCCGCACGATCACACCACTCGAAAAAACGACTCCTTTCGGGAGCGTCCTCCATTTAAATATGAGGTACGGGCGAAGCTTATGCCCATCTGACGTGTAACAGAGCATTGCCGTCACTGTAGCTTTACCGTGGACCGATGTCAGCACGCGAACTTGCTTCGCCCCCTTCTTCTTGACGGTTGTGGTGCCAGGCATGTCGAAGTAAAGAGGCGTCTGATCGGCATTCCCGATTTGCCCAAGCAGGTAGCCGTTGTTGCGCCGCAAGTTTAGGACGAACCTCTGAAAACTGTGAAACTTTTCATCGTACTCCTCCGCAAAGATTTTCGCATATGCATGTTCCCCTTCGGAGGGAAAAGCCTTTACTCTTCATAAAGTTAGTTAGCCAGCACCTGCTCACTTTAAACTGGCTCCGCATTAGACCTTTTTCTAAGACTAATTGCATAGCCCGCACTTGGAGCAGTTCTGTCGTCATGGGCCGCTGTGCCACTCGCTGCTCAAGCACATGCTCGCAGCTCTTTAATTTGCGGAAACCGACCTTGCTGTGATCCACTGAAGCCTTTGCGTGAAGCTTTGCTGTCGACAATCTTCTGCTTTTGTTTCCGCCGGTCCCGCACGCACGTTTCGGGAACTCCGAACGACCGCGATGCGGCCCGATTTCCGTCCGTTTCTGCACACGCGATGACTTTTCTTTTAAAAGCGGCATCGTGGTGCACTAGAGTTTTTGGAGTCGGCCCTTCCACGCCGTCGATGCTAATGCACTACTAGATGACGAACTCCTCAGCACACGTACGAAGTGCCGCACATGGGGAACACATAGGCAGAAATGGCCGACGCGCCATGCCGACGCACGTAGGGGGCGGCCATTTTGGATTTGCCGATGGCAATAGATTGACCGTAATATTTTTGTTCGTACTCAATTCTAACGCGCATGCGATTTATGAACTCGCTTAACCGGAAAAAAGATGCGCGTTAGATTAGAGTAATTACGGTACTTCATTCACAATGCCCTAATCCGTGCACGGCTCCGCAGTGTCGGTATCATCATCGACCGTAATTAAACCATCGCAACAGATGTCCCACCCGCTCTCCCAGGTCGGAGCTGACGACGCGCTGCCACAAATCACCGCCGCAGTGGTCCTGTTCGGAAGCTTCAGGCTCGGCATCAGGTCAGACGACAACGAAGTCGGCCTCGTGAAAACAGTTCTAGCCGTCACCACCGCCCACGAAATATTCACCATCTCCACAGCTGCATACCGGGACGCCCGATGCGGCAAGTTGGCTGCCAGGTGGTCAACAGCTATGAGCAAGTGCTCCGCAACGCGGCACCTAACGCGCAGATTACACTCAAGCCAAGCGGTCACACTTTCGGCGTTTTGTTGAGCGGCAGGAAAAGGCGTGCTAGTCCTCCCTTTGGCCATCATGACCACACACGCACACCAAGAGTGAGCAAGACGCGCACACGAGATACACAAGCCGGAATGCGTGGAACAACTCTGGGTCCATTTCCAGTCAGAAAACGAAACTGTGTGGCGGGCGTCACGGAGCGGTGGAGACGGGCGAAGGGGTTGTGACCAAGAGAGGAGAACAGACTGCGAGAGACGGGAAAGGAGTTGCGATAAAGAGAGGGGAGGATGTGGCGGGAGGGCGACCTTGAAAACCAAAACACATGGGAAGGAGGCAGGTTGTATAGCTTGCTTGAAAGGTCCGCCAAACTCGCACGTAGGAAAACTTGGAATGGCCGCCTAAATCGGTGCGCGCGGCGGTGTTCGAAGAATCAACGGCCGTGGTCAAAAATCGTTTTGTTGCGCTGGCGGGTTTGCGTGGCCTCACGAACTTCGATATTTCGCGATTCGTTCCATGCAAATTAACAGCCGTTTGCGGAATGTTGAGCCGAGTGCGCAGTGAGCGAGAACAAGTCCTAAACAGAAAACGAATCGCCAATTATCAGAGTCTGTGGGGTAGCGTACGCGCGTGCACTAGACGCAGGCTATCAGATACAGTCGGTGGCCGACGATGTTGGCAAATGGTCTGGTCACTCCAGGCCGGCGACGTCGACAGTACCAGCGATCAAAAACGGGGTAGATGACCGACCGGTCTTCGAAAGGTCTGTGGCAGTGTAAAAACATGGGCCTCGTATGGCGATGCGGAATGCTCAGTGTAGCAGAGGGGGGGGGGGGGGAACAAAGGACTGAGGGGTGCGTAACAAAAGCGGTCGGGGAGAGCAGCAACTAGAGGGGCGCGGAGGCAGGGTCGGCGTTTAGCAATAAGAATGTATGGGTACCTCGCCGATGCCTGATCAATGGTCGAAATTGGTTTCCCGGGATGTCGGCAGACCGCCGACTCCGTTCGCTGTAACCGATCAGCGGCGCTCGGAGACGTTCGTTGTAAGTGCGATTTTGTGCCATTGAACCAATGTATATTTTCCCGGTCACGCGGATATTGTTCGTTTTAAGCGAAAGTTCGTTTTAAGTGGGGCCGTTATCATCATCATCATCAGCCTGACTACGTCCACTGCAGGACAAAGGCCTCTCCCATGTTCCGCCAGTTGACCCGGTCCTGTGCTTGCTGCTGCCAATTTGTACCCGCAAACTTCTTAATCTCATCTGACCACCTAACCTTCTGTCTCCCCCTAAGCCGCTTCCCTTCTCTGGGAATCCAGTTAGTTACCCTTAATGACCAGCGGTTATCCTGTCTACGCGCTACATGCCCGGCCCATGTCCATTTCCTCTTCTTTATTTCAACTATGATATCCTTAACCCCCGTTTGTCCCCTAATCCACTCTGCTCTCTTCTTGTCTCTTAAGGTTCCACCTACCATTTTTCTTTCCATTGCTCGCTGCGTCGTCCTCAATTTCAGCTGAACCCTCTTTGTAAGTCTCCAGGTTTCTGCTTCGTAGCTAAGTACCGGCAAGATACAGCTGTTATATACCTTCCTCTTGAGGGATAGTGGCAATCTACCTGTCATAATTTGGGAGTGCTTGCCGAATGTGCTCCACCCCATTCTTATTCTTCTAGTTACTTCAATCTCGTGGTTCGGCTCTGCGGTTATTACCTGCCCTAAGTAGGCATAGTCTTTTACAACTTCAAGTGCACTATTACCTATCTCGAAGCGCTGTTCCTTTCCGAGGTTGTTGTAGATTACTTTCGTTTTCTGAAGATTAATTTTAAGACCCACCTTTCTGCTCTCCTTGTCTAACTCCTTAATCATGAGTTGCAATTCGTCCCCTGAGTTACTCAGCAATGCAATGGGCTTGACTGTACTTGGATTTTACGTACTCCTTTTACAACAGACCGAGATCTACACTACGGAGGCCTACTGTAATGAGGTTATAGTGTATATATTTGGAAACATCACACTCATCAAAAGGCATTTTTTTTAACTAAACAAAGGTGCTTGAGGGCTTTGCAGCTCCAATGACCTAACTATAACGTTCCCCCTTATTTCACCACAGCACACACAAACAGACACACCATTAAAGATGCATAGGTGGTAGCATCACACGTGAATTCACCCCAAATCTAGGCACTAATAGAGCAACGTATGACATATTGAACAAAAAAATCTGACTTGATTACATTGGTATCATTCAAAATTCCATCAACATGCCTGCAGGAAAAGCAACTGCACACATACCTGTTTGGGCACCATGATATCAGCAATGGCCATGCTTATGGCCGCCTTGTGCTTGGGCCCAGCACTGCCCCCATTGGTTGAGGCCAGGGGCTTCACAGGCTTGCTCCCTGCGTGGCCGCAAGTACAGTGGACTCCCATTAAACGAAACTTGGTTAAACGGAAAAGCCGCATAAATGAAACTATCTAGGCATGTTTGGTTGGTCTCCTATATATTTAACAATAAAAAATTTCGTGTAATGGGAACATTGTTTTTAGCTTACATTAGTTAAATGAATCTAAAATGGGCAAAATCCATGAACGGTGGAAGTGGCCACAGCAGTCTAGCAACCATGAAACAATTGCCAAAGCTAGCCTAGCCAAGCCAATCCAGCGATTGCACATGTCCGCGCATGCTGAGAAGCAATCAACGTCTCCTCGTAAACTTGAGGAGTCAGCCTTGTGGAACCTATACCCGAAGTTCAAGATGAGGACCTGTGCTAAAGTGGTAATGAGATGGTGCACGATCCCGAGATCATTTCGGTGGCTGACAGTGCAGCAAGAGATGCTGTCATCCTGTTGCAGCGCTACTTTGAACACGATAGTGGCACAGAGTTCCTGCCCAGCCTTTCAGCAATGCACTCCTACTATGTGAGAAAGTGCTTGAACAAGTCCAAGCAAATTGTTATCGACTCCTTTTTTTCGAAGTTAGCAATATTAGCAACATATTTCTTTCTAATCAACTATAGTAGTATTCTATACTTCAAAATGTTTTTGTTCAGTCAGTCACAGTTGCTGCTTTTGCAATAAAGTCATATTTCATTCATTTTGTAGGCTTTGCTTAAATGAAGCTTTTCATATATGAAACAAATTTTCTTGCCCCTTCACGTTCCGTTTAATAGGAATCCACTGTATGGGCAGTGAGTGAGTATCATATAGACCTATTCCATGTTTGTAAACACAGGTAGGCCGACGTCGACATTATGCGTAAAATTATAGCGACGTCCGCACGTAACTTCCACCATAAGCACTGAGGGCTGTAATGTGCGCCAACAAAACGACGTTGTGAGACGTCATAAGCGTTGTGAAAGCCATAAGCGCTGAAGGCTGCGATGTGCGCCAACAAACAAAACTAAGTTGTGAGATGCGACTGACATCCTACCACGACGCAGCTCGTCGGCATCCCCTTTTTTTTCCTCTCTTTGCTGCTTGACTGAGAACACCACATTCACCATTGAAAACCGAGCAGAAACTGTGGTAGGCAGAGCGTCTTTTGCCTACCAAGACAGTGCTATCCCCCTCTATCCCACTCGCTTGCTATACTATACATGGCCCTGCTGTTTGCTTTACCCTCTACCTTCCTCTTTCGGTCCTCGCCCTCACTTCTCTTTCCCACCTTTTTGCTAGAATACTAAGCGCTGCTACCCTGAGCGGTGCACACTCGCTCAGTTTTGTGCGGAACAATCCCGGAGTGTTGCCATGCCTTAACAGCTCCACAGTTAAAAGAAAACATGTCTAATGCAAAACGTTTTCCACTTTTTATACGGATAATTTGAGTCTCCACTGCTTTATTTCCAGGCATCAGAAGTGTTTTTAAAAACTGTGCTGTCAATTATGCTGTAGGGAGGATCTGGACTTTCACATGAGGCAATGCCTGCACACTTACACCTCGGATTGGGTGGTGGTGAGCCGGTGCTACCAGGGCCACAGTTCCAGTGTCATCGCCAGGGATGCGGCACTGGAGAGGGCGGCCGTCGTGCGCACCACGCAGAAGCAGGAGTTCGAGGTGGACGTCTGCGACGAGTTGTCCCGCCATTCGCAGCAGTCCTCTCTGAGTCATGGGGAAGACATTCCAGTACGATTACCGTCTGGTCCTTCTTGTTATCAAACCGTTAGGCTTTCTGCTCACATGCTAGTGAATGGACTGCCACAAGATTTCTTATTTTGGCACTTGATCATTCATTATTGTAGACTTTGTATTTACTCTGCTATTTCATCTAACTACTGAAACACAGTGTATATTTTTCAGAGGCTGATTTCTAAAATGTGCTCATTTATTTTTATGTACGAGCCACAGCATCACTTTTTTACTTTAAAAAATGCATATAGGCTAAAGGTATTTGCTTCAAGCATGTTTGTATAGACATATTTCCGAGGCAAAATTAGTACCACTGTTGTTGCTAAATATGTCACCCTATCTCTAACACAATGTGTGAACTGCTGGTACTTTGGTGGGCCGAGCCTGTACACTGCATATAAATGTAAAGACACCTTAATAAGGTGTATATATGTATCACCTTTTTAGGGCACTTTATCGCGAGTAGGACCAGATCAAAAGACTGAACACTTGTGAGCTAGCTAGTTAAAGGGCGATGCGGCGAAAAACAAGTTTTTTTAAAGACAGATTTTATTTTTGCCTGTTTGATAAGATTAGTACCTATACTGTTATGAAAAAAAAAAAATAAGTACTAACTAGAAATTGCATCTAAAGAGCACAAGGTGCCTATTAAAAGTCCAAAGTGTGCAGTCTTCAAGCACCTTGCCGCCGATTATGTGCCCCTGCTCGCCATTGTTGATCCCATGAGCCGAAGAGTCGAGCGTCACTCTTCAAATAACAACAGTTTCCCTCGCTGATGCAGCGCCAGAAATAATAAAAAGAAGCACGCTTCTGCGTGTTTTTTGTGCGCCGCGATTGGCTTATCACGTGGTACAAATTGGGGGACCACCATTGGCCGCTGCGCGCCTGTATGTGCTGTGACGCCCATTTGCGGGGTCCATGTCTTGTCGAGCAGCGCAGCTGAACAATGCTTTTCTTGTGTAATTATCTCTGTTATGAATGAAAAAAAGCCATTGCTCGCAAGTGAAAGCCGTTGTGCGGCGCACTCTGTAGGAATAGGCTACGAGCAGCTGGTCCGATTTGCGGCAGTTCTATTTGCGGGGTCCAGGTCTTGTCGAGCAGCGCAGCTGAACAATGCTTTTCTTGAGTAATTACCTCTGTAATGAATGAAAAAAAGCCATTGCTCGCAAGTGAAAGCCGTTGTGCGGCGCGCTCTGTAGGAATAGGCTACGAGCAGCTGGTCCGATTTGCGGCAGTTGTTGGCTTGCAAAAGCCAATGCATCAAAAGTCATTCCCACCCCTCAGCCGGAAAGTTCGTGATGCGGCAATGGATGACGTCAGCGCCAATCTTGCGAAGTCGAAAGAGCTCGCAGTGAGGGAATTTGGCAGGGACGACATTGCCATTATGTACGACGGTATGTGGCACAAACATGGCCGCAAAATGGCATGATACTGGACTTAAACTAGTTTAGATATCACAGTCCTGTCGAATTTCTTCCTAGCTTGCAGTTGGCACATGGCTCTGCCAGATGGAGCGGAAGTTTGGCAAATGTTTCATGGCCTTGTCTGTGAGGATTCGGCTCAAAAAAGCCAAGAGGGACAAACTTATGGTGCTGGCGTATTTTAGTGGCAGTGGCCACTACAAGGAGGATTGTTCTTGTTGATTGTCAAATTTCATCAGATTTAATAATATTTTTCATAAATAAAAACTGAATTTTAATTTTGAAGCTCGTTTTTCTCAAAACACAAATTTTGCCATTTTTTTCAATGTGCCCCTTCTCTTTCGGGCACTTCTAGTGCTCGGATTTGCATGACATTTTGCCCAATTTTTTTTTTAAATATGACAAATGCAATTATCTAGTTTAAGTTTCTATATTTTATTGTATAATAAAAAAATTGTATGGAAACCTTTCCTAGGGTAGGTGAAATATGGACGTTTTACGTTTATTATTTTTCACGCCTATTACATATTTTGTATGTGCTTCCTAATTATTTATTTGCATTCTACACTTTATTTCAAACATTATGAACCATGAATGGTGAAAAATTACAGAAGTTCAGGGATGAATAGAGGGGGGTAGGGCTAGGGTTTTCACTTTGTCATGTTGCAGAGCTAAAAATATGCAACTTGCAAGAAAACTAATTAGTATATTTGAAATCAGCATAAAAAGTTACATAAGCAGCTCAAGTTTCGTTGCTCTAGGGTGAATATTAAGAAAAAAGTGCCTTCGAGTAGCATCTCCCCCTAACAGTAACTGTGTAATCAGAGAAAGCAGTGTGACCACCACAAGAGCCACCAGAGGCAGAACTAGGGCTACGGCTGCCATCCCGCGACCTGTTGAGCGGTTATGTGCATTGCGTGTTCCCTGTAGCCTGGTCATGACTTTTCTCGGGGAACGCCTAAGTTAGGAAGCCGGTGTTAAAGCCAGCTGAAGAAGACTCGTGTCTAGCTTTTTTTAATATGAATGAATGCTATCAGCGAGATTGAGGCTTGGGCTGAAGTCACCACCTGCGTGTTTTAAAAGTAGGGAGGCTACCCAGGACAACAAACTTTATTTTTTTAAGCTATCTTCATGAAACTTCCAGGGTAGGTTCACTACATTGAAATAAAGAAACTGCCAACTTTCATGAAATTGTTTTCAAGCATTCTAGGGTTACTGAAGTCTAACTGGGTGGGTCCCTTGTGTGCCTGAGGAAGGGCTGGAAGTAATCCCAGGACATGCTAAGATTTGTGCTGGATCCAGCAATATCGGACACGCTTGATGTGTTCGCGGCTCCAGGTACACACGGTGTGTCAAGTTCCGGACTGGTGGCAGCCGACAACACAGTTTCGCCGCCACCGCAAGCAATGGCACACTGGGCACTTGCAGCAGAAAAGCGGAATTTCGATTCTCGTAGCCGCATAATGCGTTTCCGCACTCCGAACTTGTGCAGTCTTCGGCTTCGTTGCCGGCATCACGCACAGTAACAAAGATAAACGACACAGAACTAGTGCAGAAAAGAAAAGAAAAGAAACTGATGAAAAATACAGCTCAAGGCAAAAAGCGGCTCGTAAGCAGACGTTTGTCAAGGCGGACGGAGCAGAGAGCAACAGCGAGACGAGCGCGCCGCACGTGCGCTTTTGCCCGCGAGATATGAATGAGCTGCTCTAGCCAATCAGCGCTCCGCAGCCCATCTTGTGGAAACGCCGATAGCATCTCAACTGCACCGCTGACGTAATTTTGAAACACGGCAATTAAGAGAAATAATTCACGGTTAAAACAAGACCAAGATGGCGCGGGATAGCCGCATGGTCTCAGGATGGCGCGCGTGCGAGTTAGGTTTGATTTCGGCTTTTGAGCGTGTTTTGAGTGGTGCGGTGGCCTTGAAAATAGCATACTTTTGCACTTTGGGGTTGAATTAGGCGTTGATCAATATTGATTGATTGATATGTGGGGTTTAACATCCTAAAACCACCATATGATTATGAGAGGCGCCGTAGTGGAGGGCTCTGGAAATTTCGACAATTCGGGGTTCTTTAACGTGAACCCAAATCAGAGCACACGGGCCTACAACATTTCCGCCTCCATCGAAATTGCAGCCGCCGCAGCCGGGATTCGATCCCACGACCTGCGGGTTTGCAGCCGAGTACCTTAGCCACTAGACCACAGCGGCGGGGCTAGGCGTTGATATTTACAGAATAGGTAGTTTATGTGACATACAACCCAACAACATGGTTTTTCAAAAAATACATTTTCACTGATTTTTCGGTTTTCAAGGGCCGCAGTCCCCCTTTAAGGGGACGTGCCTTTGTTGATCAAAATTTGCACAGACACTAAACATGGCCTCAAAGTGCTTCCATAAAAATTTCGAGGCAATAACACAAAAACTTAATGAGATGAAAATTATTTCTTCATTAAACCTCATAGAGGGCTGGCAGGTATATAAAATGAGAAAAATAATTGGAAATTACTGAATGCACAGCCAAATGTATGCTGAAGGAGAGCTGCATTTTCAAGATAATCTATTTGCAACACTTCATTTTCTAGTTAACCTTTTCTCCAGCGACACTGCAATGAGTACACTTGCACTACAAACAGGAAACCCCACGAAAATTCTTTAGGAAGTAAAATGAAAAACTAAGATCGCAGTTCAAGGAGTGTTACAAAACAAATAGAATCAAAATTTGTGCAGTCGGTTGCAGAGATATCTTCTCTGCGAGCTGAGCATAATGCCAAAGAAACAGTATCGAGAAAACTGCGTTTGAAGTTTCATCTTCCCTTCACGTCTCTACAACAACTAAAAATTGTGAGCTTAGGTTTGTCTTGTGATATTTGACTTCTCAGGCATCTGGCCTAATGCCCAATGTGCCTTTCTGGCCTATATATTTTTTCTATAACCTTTTTTTTTTATCTACAAAGAGCAAGTATGGATTTCAAACCAAGTTCTCTGTATGAAGGAGTGGTGTGATAGTAGGCATGACAGCATAGATTGTAATTGAATAAGGCCATATACTGAAATGATTAGACTTTTTTTTGTGCTCAAGCTGTCAGCATAATTAGGTACTTCTGGATTACAAATAACCTGAACTTTTTTTTTTATAGAGAGAAGGTTATTGCATGAAAAAAAGGCTCACACCATGACAGCCTATGCCTTCTTTCCGAAGAAAACTGGTGGCACAGAAATTTTTTAGCAGTTTACTTAATGACGCGAGTCGGGCATATAAAAACTCCTGCCCCTGCTTCATACATGCTCTTTGCCACTCTAGCCGTGAAACTCGTCATACGGTCGGTCGCGAAAACACTAATCTACGAGCTTTCATTGTCTCAGAACATTCATAGACGCTCGTGGCGATACCAAGCAAGGCTCCAAACACGTCTAAATTGCATCACAAAAGCTTATTGACAGCCCTCCATATGACCGTGAAGTGCGTGGCCGCGTGGATAGTGCAGCCGACGCGTGATGCACCTGCCAGCTGCGTTCGGTGATGGTGTACGAAATGTGTACCTACGATGACAAAAAACTGGCGTGCACTGCGCTAGTTATAGCATTTTCCAATGCTGACACGAGAAACTGCCAGCCACTGTCCCGAGCAATCCTTGGCAGTGGAGGAGGAGGGGGGGTTGACGAGCTTGACAGTGGGGTCCACTGCCTATGCTTAAAATGCCCGTCCACGGTTCCGAGAAGCTAGCGAGTGATGTGCTTCATTGCTTGCGAATAAGTACGCTGCCATGAGTGCTCTTGTGCGGCGTTCTTGCCCGGAAAGTTCGCCTCGCCGTAAACAGTCAAGCCTAAAGACAACACCGATGACGCGGCGCGCTCGTAGTAATCTGACCATGAATGCACTTACAGCTTCGTTGCTTGCAAAAGAAGCACGTCGTTCTTGCCCGCAGTCTCGTCATCAGCAGAGTTTGGCCTAAAGACAACTCTGATGACGTACTGCGCTCTTAGACCACGCGCGCTATGAGAGGAAAGAGGTAGATATAAAAGGCACGTTCTTAAAGCCTCTGGAGTGTGCAACCATGGCACGGTTGATAGTGTGCCCTGTTCCGCATCTGTTGTCGCAGACTGACAGAACTTTTTTAAAGATGATAGTCTTTCTTGGGGACCTTCGACACAAAAATTTTGGTCTGTCTAGCTGTCTTTACATTTGTCTCTTTATCCGCCTATAACGATACCCCAAAAGGCACCACAGTACTCCAAATGGCCGACCCCATCCGCAGAGCCAACCAATATTGCTCAAGATTCAGCGTTCATACTAGTGCGATTGTCAATTAAAAAGCAATTATTGCGAATATCTGAGGCACCATAACAACACGTTAATATTGTGTATGTGTGTCTTTATACTAGAGAAGGCCTACATCAGTGATTCTAAGGACTGTAGCGTTTATCACGCTGCGCTGAGAATGTAACGCTTGCACGAAAAGGCAAGTGTTTCCAACGCTTTGCTAAGACGACACGGTGGTGGCACCTAACCATCGCTTTGCATTCTACTCCTTATAGCCTCAGAGACTGGCGCGAATGCCGCGCGCTTCATTTTCCCAAGATAACTGACAGATAGCGCCATTGTCTAACGTGTGACCTGACTTGATGCGCTCGTTCGCCTCCAGTGCTCGCTCGAGGCACTCTAACGCAGCGCCTCCAGAATACCATTCACCGATTTTCCTTGTGCAGAACATCAAATAAACATTTTCTTCACTCCCTCCAGATGCAAGACTATCGTCTTTTGACGACATTTGCAGTGTGACGTGCAGATACGGGGCCAATTTTTTCTCTGCCGTCTGATGGTGTGCATTTTTTGACGCCACTAGTCACGGAGATACGGAACTGTTGTCCATGCGGACGCTGGAATAAATCTCTTTTGTGTTGACGAAGCAACACAGAGACTGACAAACAGCAAGGCTGAGACTCCCACTACCTAAATATTTTAGCACGCTTTTTCTTTTCTTTAATACACTTTATGGAACAGGAGCCTCTCCAGCCAATAACTGCCACTCAGCAGCGAAACAATGTAGTGTGTGCACACAGATGAAAAAATGTGCCAAATGCTGTTGAAGATCATGAGTGACCAACTACAATAGACCCTCAGCAAATGGTATTGCTGTATTTAAAGGTAAAACTGCATCAGATACAGAACTCATGTCAAACAGAACATAATTTCCTAGTCCCTCCAGGTTCTCTTTATTATAGGCCCACTATATTTGTACCAAAGATTTTTTGCATATCTTTAGGGATCCATCCTCGTACTTCATCAAGGGTTAGCTCTTACCTTTTTCCCTGAAAGGTGTCTGTGGCTGTTGCTTTGGAATGTTGTCTCCCTGTTTAACCATGGCATCCTGACGTGGTAGAAAAGAAGTGCAACACAACGTTTTGGTCAAATATTTCATGGGCAAACACTCTCAAAATGTCTTTTGTGTAAGAAATACGAAAACTACCCTAAGTAGAGAGAATGTTGCTTTCACATAAATTGACTGCAAGAATTTCATCAAAATTACCTCATTAGCAAATGAGATGGCCATCGTTACAGGATACAATCCCCATTAACTGAGGCCAAATCAGTCAAAAAAATTATTGCTGTGAAAGATTGTGGGGGTGCTGACACCACCTGGAAAGCTTTTTGCACTGCGTGGCGCACGTGTGTCGCCCAAAAGCCGCATTTTGGAGTCCAACCACCGGACGGTAGGTGGCGTATTCGCGTTGAGCCCCACTATCGTCATCATGGTTGGTAGTGGTAGCGCCGGCGGCGACCCCTTGCGGAATCAAGCCTTGGTGGCAGGCGAGAGTTGAGCGAGCCACTTCTGCGCGTGGCGGTTGCCGCGAACGGTTGTCTCTAGCATGGGTCCTCGGCGCGTGGTACCGCGGCCCGCGCGCCGGGGGCCCTCGTGGTAAGTCAAGCGTTGGCGACGCCGCCTTGGGTGTGTTATTGTATTTGCCATGTTATTGTGTGTTTGTCATGTTATTCTGTTTGTCATGTTTTGGAGTATTGTGTTAGGTTGTTTAGCGTTGATAACGATTGATGTATTGATTCGGTGGACAATATCGTAGTTGTAAATTAGTTAAATATATGTATGTGTTTGTTTGTTTGCCCCGAACGCGTCTTCTGTGTCCGTTCACTCCAAAAGCGTGGCGTGGCGCTCGCTCGCCAAATCTAGACCCCACAAGGTCAACTGTGCATAACTCATTTTATTGTGTCCCACTTTCCTTCGAGGCAGTTTGCACATGACACAGTCAAACCAGCTCCACAAAGGTTGTTTTAAGTGCATTCTTTACAATCGCAGGAGCTGCCCAGCCAGTTATCTGTCACCAGTCCTCTTCTCCTGTCAGTGACAATTGATGATCGCTTGTACAAGATAGCTTTCTTAGCATATAATAAAAATAGCAAAATTCTGCACTTTTATGTAGCGAAACTATGATATGATTACGGCATATGCACAGTGAAGATATGCAGATAAATTTTGACCACCTGGCATTTTCCGATGAGCACTGACATTAAGGTGCACAGCAAACTTGGCATTTTGCCTCTATTAAAGCATAGATGTCATGGCTGGTTAATTCCCGCCTTGTGCTTAGCAGCGCAATCGCACAGCCACTCAGAAATCCCAGTGAACCTTTATAACTGACCTCTGCAACTAGGTGGAGAAGCATTAAAGGTGTCACTGGAAGGATGAGCATTTTTGTAGCTCTAAATCGGGAGGGTAATTCTAAAAGGGCCCTGCAAAACATTGATTGATATGTGGGGTTTAACATCCCAAAACCACCATATGATTATGAGAGACGCCGTAGTGGAGGGCTCCGGAAATTTCGACCACCTGGGGTTCTTTAACGTGCGCCCCTTCGCAAAACATTCTTCAGCATGGCCGGAAAAAAACGCTGCCAATTGGCAGTCAAGGCTCCCGAGAACATGTGGGCCAAATACTACAGTGCAGCACGCGGCCTGGCACTTACACCAATTTCTAATAGCTAGGAATCACTTGCTCTTCTCACAGCAAATGACGCCATAATGCCAAATGACCGTGCCAAAATCCCGAAGTCCACGGCCATTGGCTGACTTGAGCATTGTGGGCTGCTTAGTTACCATGGCCAACCCAGTATCCCGCTAGGTGCCCATAATGTAAGCGGCGTGTTTCAAGGAAAAAAACTAAGTGCTCCATGGTCATGATGCACACTGACAAATGAACGTTGCTTCTTATTTGAACCACGGATGTAGAAGATTACCTGAGCCGCAAAATTGTCTTCAAGCACCTTGTTAAAGCGATTCGACGATTACTTGGAAAAGCTTTTCAAGGCCCCTTCGGCAAGTCTACAGCCTAAAGATTACACTAAGTCTAGCTAATAAAACTAGACAATCTAGGTCAAGGAAAAATGCACATCAACAACAAACGCAACATACCTTAGTGTCTGCTTTCGTCATCCGTGCGTCTGGTGAACGCTCCGAGTCTCCAGTGCCTCTGCTGCCCAGCGGCGGATACTCGTCAACCGAGTGCTTCTGCCTGGCAGGGCTTCCAGAGTTCCAGCTTCTCCTCAGTGCTGGCTTGTCGACTTCGCGCTGGCCGTCCTCCAATACTGGCAAGTGGCGATCAGAGTCTGATCCCTTGCGGCTTCCTCCCCCACGTCCGCCTTGTTGGTGGTGCTGCCTGCTCCCATCTCCTTTCAGCACTCCACGAAACACTGACGAGTGGCGCGTCTCTCGTCGTCCTCGTGCAGCGTTCACTCGCACGCCGTTTTGACGAGGCATACGGCCACTGCCAAACCATTCCCTACATCGCACAAAGCAGGAGTTCAGTGCTTGCATCTACAAGCCCTAATCAACTAACTGAATCGAGCAAGCCCTAGATCATTTTTTCCACCTCTGCCCTTATTAATAATAATATTCTGAGTTCCACATGTCAAAACTATGACATGACTATGAGGCACGCTGTAGTGAAGGACTCGGAAAATTTTGACAACCTGGAGTTTTTGACGTGGACCTAAATCCAAGTACACGGACCTGTAGTATTTCACTTTCACTGAAAAGGAGAACACCACGTCAGGGATCGAACTCTCAGCCTTCTGGTCAACAGACAAGCACCATAACCATTGCACCATCACGACAGCTTCCCCTCTCCTATTTCACATAGACCAAGCCTAGCTAACCTGTTTCTAGCCGTGCGTTAACCCAGTGCACCCGGATATTGTGATTTGGCAATAAACCCGGTTATATGCTAATAAACTTGACTACCACACCCACAAGAACACCGCTATGTTTTTCAAACACACTATAGGTGGTGCAGCCGGGAGCATCCAAGTTAAATATTCCACCGCATGCTGCGTTACACGCTGCTGGTGCTACAGATTTACACGCAGTCCAGATCGTAGAAGCAACTAGCCAAATTCCAAATCATGTGTCAAATCAAGTCGGAAATAGGCATAATTTGACGAGTCACACTCCACAACTTTTGTGACCACTACTGAGAGGACAAAAGTTGAAAGTGAGCGTGGCGACTACGTGTTTGTTCTCCCCAAAGGAGAACTTTTGCTCTCACCCATATAGGACTGTGTGTGTGTGTGTGTGTATATATATATATATATACATATTTCTTTCACCCACTTTTCTATCTTCTTATTTACATTAAGTTAGTTATAATAACTTCCACTTCATTATTATCAGTTAGATCTCATTAACATTGTGTCAAAACATGGAAAAACGAGCCCTTAGGTATACACTTCTTTCCCTTATACATTAACGAGGGTCTTGTACTGGCAGACTTGGTGCCGTTAGGTTGTATACGAGGGACTATTGGTCAGCTGCCAGCTCGTAATAAGTGACGCCATACAGGTTCATAAAAAGAGTGTACCACACTCGCCGCCATGGCTACAGGTGGCGCTGACTGACATTCCCACGTTTAAATTCACATACAAACCCAATAAAGTGGCTGGGGGAATAGCCGCCGTGATAGCTCAGTGGTAGAGCATCGAACGCATTTGATTCCTGCTCACGGCAAGTTATTTTTTCACCCACTTTTCTTTCTTCTTATTTACATTACATTGGTTCTAATAATTTCCCCTATACATTCCTTGGCATTATTGTTTGTTAGATCTCATTAATATTGTGTCAAAACAAGGAAAAACGAGCCCTTAGATAACACTTCTTTCCCATATATATATATATATATATATATATATATATATATATATATATATATATATATATATATATATATATATATATATATATATATATATATATATATATATATATATAATGCTTTTTTCTTTTTCTTTATTTCTAACAATCAAGTGGACAGGGGTAGCCGTGGCCAAGTGACGATGACTAAAACTCCATCGTTTATTTTCTACTTAAATAAAAATAAACGGGCCTTTCAGCTTTACCAACGGCTATTGTGCAGACCTGTCTACGTTATTGGTCTGCAAGATGCCAGACACTGCACAAATGTTTGCAAGCATAAGCTGGTATGCATATACAATTCCCCCCCAAATGTGCTATGCAGTCATCACTCACTAGCACTCTGAGAATATTTGTTACATAAAAATGAAGGACTTCTTTATGCATTACCAAAAAAATGTAGGTAAATATATTACTTGTTACACTAACAGAAGAAGAATGTGTGAACACGCCACGTTACCTTTAAAATAGGCAATGGCTTACAGTTACCCCATAAAAGTAGTGCAAGTTAATTATGCCATTACACCAGGGTCAGAAATTTGAAATCATTACATCCTCACTGTAAGAACCAAAACAAAAATTCAATAAACAGCATGTTTATATTGCAAATAAAACAATGATTTTGAATGACTTACTGATGGAACTAGAGAACTGCCCATAAGTGCACCAGACTTTAGCAATATTACAGTGGCCTAATGCTGCAAAATTACATGTGATGGCTTATTATTTAGTGGAAATTGCTAAAGCCATTTTAAACGAAAATTGAGATTTCATTAACAACACTATCATATCAGCAAAAGAAACATGAATGATCTCTCAACAAATTTATGAGAAATATGACAACCTGCTTCTATTAGCATACAAAATGTATGTGCAAATCCTATAGAAATAAAAAAATCCTTAAATTTCACAGTCCCGAACGAAATATTTGAAGGGTAGGTCATTTTCAGCCCCTTCAACCTCCATAATGGCCGTAACAATTGCAAGCGTTCAAGCGAAAGCATTCAAGGTCAGCCTCGCTTGCTCAGGAATTCAACCAAAATTCTAAACACACGCAGATAGAGAAGGAGATACAGTGGACACCCATTAAACGCAACTCGGTTAAATGGGAAAGCCACATTAATGAACCTATCTAGGCACATCTGGATGGTCTCGTATATGTTTAACAGTAAAAATTTTTGGGTAATCGTAAAATTTTTTATCGCTTACGTCGGTTAAATGAAACTAAAATGGGCAAAGTCCATGAATGGCAGAAGTGGCCACGGCAGTCTAACAACCATGAAACAAATGCCAAAGTTAGCCTAGCCAAGCGAATCCAGTGATAGCACGTCCTCGCACGCCGAGCAGCAATCGACGTTTCGTCGTGAACTTAAGGACAGCCTTGAGGAACCTATAGCTGAAGTTCAAGATGAGGACTCCTGCGCAAGTGGCGACGAGATGGTGTGTGATCCCAAGCCTATTTCAGTGGCTGACAGTGCAGCAAAAGATGCTGTCATCCTGTTGCAGTGCTACTTTGAAAATGATGATGGCACAGAGTTCCTGTCCAGCCTTTCAGCCATAGACTCCTACTATGTGAGAAAGTGCTTGAAAAAGGCCAAGCAAATTGTTGTCACCAACTTTTTTCCGAGTGAGTATTAATACTGTATAAACATTTTTCTTTTTAATACTATAGTAGTATTGTATGCTTAAAAATGTTTTTGTTCAGTTAGCCACAGTTGGTGCTTTTGAAATAAAGTCATATTTCATTCATTTTGTGGGCTTTGCTTAAATGAAACTTCTCATAAATGGAACAAATTTTCTTGCCCTTTCGAGTTCAGTTTAAGAGGAGTACACCGTAGAAGCATATTTTATTTCAAAACAGGACTGACGAACAGTGCTATGGTGCTGCAGGGAACTCTTGCTGACAACTTGACCTTGTAGAATTTAAGCAATAGCTTTACTTTTGAGTCGTCGACATGCCTTGCTTCTTAGTGAATGCGTTCACAGCTACGGTAGATAGACGCTTTGATTATACTTCAACTGACGACACTTTACAGGCCGACAGCTGTCCGCCACTTTGACATCAGGATAGCTTTAGGCATGTGACGCCCACGAGATCAAGAAACATTTCCTAGGATTGCCACAATAGTTGGAAATGATAGCTAACGAGTAAGTTGACACCTCATGTTACTGAAAAACATTAATGTATTTACATTACCCATTATATTTTTGAAATGGTAACAAGTACATAACTAAATCACTAAAAGAAGTCATGCATTACCAGTAATGGCATTACTTGTAATGCATTACCACCAACACTGGTTCTCACCGAAATAATCAAGTGGCAACAAGCAAGGCTGTGCTACCCCATAAAAAAGAAAATATATTGACAAAAGCAGAAAAGTAAACATAAACTCTTATTGCTATTCTAGCAGACATGTTATGCCAGTGAAGGAAAAGCTAAGAAATTCGAGAAGGTTCCTCAATGTTACCCAAAGAGGAGATGTTTACAAAGCAACACTACACAAGATGCACTATGTTAAATTTGACTTATGTATTTCAATTTCCCGCTTTTGCATCAAGGGAAATGCAAGAATCATTGTATGATTATTTAGTATCCAACTCAAGAAATTCAATTTGCTGTCAAGCTGCCCAAATGTCCAACAGCAAAGAAAGTCAATTCAAAATGCACGCATGCTCACATAGAGGTGCTGGGAAAAGAACAACTGAAGTAATGAAAGAGCTTGGAACCACTTTGTGCTAAACACGACAAAATTGTAATAATAATCCAGTCCTCGAAGCCTGCCAAAACATTATTTGAGGCATGGTGTAGCAGAAAAACAAGAATTAAACATGACCATATGGGGGTCTTTAATTTGCACCAAATTTTATTTACACTCAAACCTCGTTATAACGTAACAGGATATAACAAAATAATGAATATAACAAAGTAAATGAAATTCCCCTTGAAACCTTCATTGAGAACCATGCATTTTAAACCTCACTTTAACAAAGTAAAATTGACCGGTAAATGGATATAATGAACTAAATTATTCTATCAGTCTAAAAAAACGGACCGTATTCTGTTAAGTATATCGTTTTCTACGGAGTTTGACACTCGTTCGGCGCGGCTCTTTGAAAACTCCCGCGCAGACCTTACAGCCACGCCACGCACATCCGGGAGAGCCCTCCTCCTCACACAGCCAGTGGAGAGGATTGAGGAAGTGCTCAGCGGGTCACATGACCAAGAAGCGGCGCCGCGGTGCAAAGCGATTTCCCTCTCACTTAAAAACACACGATGGGGAAGCTTCAGAAGACTTACATTTATTCATAAATCAGAGGACATACGTCATTAATTGAAGTAATTAGTGATGGTCGTCTGCACACGTTTGCCTTGCAGCGAGTCAATCAATTTTGCACGTAGCTTGCAAAGCATAGTAGCGCGCGCCTAAGTCCAGAGCAACGACGACGGCAACGACTGTGTCTCCGCTGCTACCCTCTGCATTGCAAAAAGAAGATTCTCCGAAACAGCTTTTTTTTTTTTTTCCTCTCGCACACGGCCTTGAAAGAGAAGAGTCTCGACGCACAGAGACGGAAGAGGGAGAAGCGTGGCAAAGGGACGCCACAGATCAGCATTTCAGAGAGAGCAAACAATGTGCCACTGTCTTTTATTTCCTTTTCCTTTTCTCCTTCTTGCGCAGCGTTGAGAGGTGCCGCCGCGGGATAGGGCATGGTGCTGAGAGCATTTTCAAAGCGTGGTATGTTCGAATCAACCATCCCAAGTGCTTGCGCGTTCGAATTACAGGGCGTTTTCGCTCATTGGAAAACACAGAGCTGAGACGGGACCACAGTGTGATGTTCGGATTAAACGGAAGTTCGAAATAAGTGCGTTCGAATTAGTGAGATTTGACTGCGTTTATTTTCTGTTGCACGCGTGGTCACGTAGCGGTACATCGGGCTGCAAGGCGGTTTCCTTCTTTGCATGTTTATAGGTGTGAGCCCATCTGAGCATACATTGCGACAAACTGTTATGATCGATATAATGAAGTGATGGATATAACGAATAAATGTGGCTCCCCTTCAACTTCGTTATAACGAGGTATGAGTGTATTTGCACCACAAACATACCTGCCATAGCAAGGAATCGAACCTGTAGTCGTGTAAGCGCATCAGCCCTTCTCTGTTGACTACTCAGTCCCAGAACGTTCATGTACATGATGATTTATCAAATGACATGCAGCGTTATATGCTGCTGGTGCTTCAAATTTATCCACAGTCACCATTATAAAAGCCACCGGCCCAGCTCCAAAGGATGTGAAATACAGTCGAACCCATGCTACAACGAAACTGATAGGGCGCGAACAAAATTTCGTTGAAGCGAAAATTTCGTAGTAGTGCAAATTGAAAAAAATATTGTTGATCTGAGCTAGCAAAACAAAGGAACGTTTATTCTCAAAATTCAAAAAATGTCTGCTGTTCCTATTCTTACACAGCAGCATCACGACCCAATTCTCACCCATGCATAGCGAGGCCGTGGTGAAAAGCACGTTGAAACAACGCCTAAAACAGCTTTCGTGAACAAACCAAACAGTTGAATTAACACGTTAACACCAGCAGCTGTCCACCATCAAAAGTATCCAACAATGCCGAGATGAAGGCAGGGTATCGTGGAGCGGCGACTTTTGCATTATTCTATGCCATTCTTATCACCTAACACTCGCGGCTAGCTAATTTTGTTGATAATGCGGATGAACAGCTGCTCTGATTAGTTACCATACTGGCCAAGCGCAAACATAGTGATAAGAATCGAAACCGGAAAAGGCACCGTTCCGCGGTTGCACCTAGCAGCTGCGAGAAGGAAACCATGAACTGAGCGACTGAGCTTTAGCTTTGGATTGTCTGTGGCTCAAAAGCAAGCCAGTGGCAGAACAAAAGCAAGGCAGTCTCATTGCAATCACTATCGAGCAAAGGCGCCACCCCATGCTTGCTGAACAGCGGCGCTTTTGCTGCTTACAAACACAGGCCCTTGGTGACATCCGGTTTTGTCATTCGACATGCCTTAAAATCGTAAAATTTTATTGAAGCGGGACGAGCGAAGAAAAAGTGGTTGCTGTGGCGACAATATTTATGCATTGACTCCTGTGGATTGCTGACAGGAAATCGTGAATTTTTCGTTATAGCGGTTATTTCGGTGAAGCGGGGTTCGTTGCGGCGGAGTTCCACTGTAGTAGGTGGGCCTACTTTGACCAGTTACGCTTCACACAAAACAGTCAAAATTAAAAAGTGCCTTCTAGGCGTGCTCACCGAGTTACATTCGCTCCAATGGCCTCTGTGTCATGCCGCAGCTGCGATTTGTCCTTTTCGGGGGCCTCAAACTGATGTTTCTCGGCACCTCCGTCAATGGTCGGTGCATTTGCCTTTCCTCCTCCGCTTCTCCTTGAGCCCCTCTTCTCTTGCTGGTGATGCTGCAGCCTCGTTGACGGTTCTGCATCTTCCGCACGCCTGACCCCATCACTCGTGCCACCCCCACCGCCACCACGCCGGTGCTTGCGTGACCAGTTGCTTCTTTTGTGATGCTTGTTATTCACATCATGTGGGCTGTTGCCGCCGTTGTTGCCCCCACCGCGACGTCCTTGCTGCTGCATGCTGCTTCGCGTGTTCACACCTGCCGCAGACGGTGATGCTAGCTCCTCTATTTCCCTGTTTGTCGTAACCCCAGAGGGAGCTGCAGGTGTTCGGGGTGCTTTCTGCTGCTGCAGTGCTGTGGAGTAGCTGATGCCCGAGGGCGACTGCCGCTGCGGAAAGTCCTGCACAGGCAGCGAGGGGAACTCGGAGCTGCTGGAAAAGTCCGGGCTGGCAGGCCCTCCCTGCCACTCGTCCTGGTCGACGGCGGTAACCCTCGCCGCACTAGCACCGCCGTTCCTCCCCGAAGCTTGCCCAAAGTCAGGCGTGATGCTGGCGTTTCCATCAGCCACTGTGAATGCACACACAGAAAAGATAAGAGTAAATAAAAAAAATTAAATCATGGGGCATTTTGTGCCACAACCACATGATTATGAGGCATGCTTTAGTGGGAGATTCCGAATCGATTCTGACTATCTTGGGCTCTTTGTGTACGCCCAAATTTCTTCGTATTTTTCGAATTTCCTCCTCATCGAAATGCAGCCATCATGGCCAGGAAAAAAAACACATCCTAGTGCTTAGCAGCATCAAGTCATAGCCCCACAGCCAGCGCAGTGATTTAGACTGTAATTCCACTGGAATCGACAAGTAACAAGATCACAATTCTGAGTAGATGGTACAGGCAGCCCTTAGGTTGAGGCATACAAAAACAATGAAGCACCACTGAGATTACATGTCATATAACACAATAAAAGATTCATAAACATTTACAGTGGACTTCTCTTAAACGAAACTTGAGGGGTATGGTGACCCCACTACTAACTGCAGCGGACAATCACCGCGGGTTCATGCTTAGCGAGCCACAGGGCCGCTACTCCGTTTACTCGAGTGTAGCGCACCGCTCCGCGCGGCAAACAGACAGTGTTCTAATGCAAAAATACACAACACTTTATTGCCTCTGGCGGCACCCCGAACAACAGTACAACGTCCGCTCCCAGGACGTGGGTAGCAAAGGCACCCGCACGCGGACGTTCACAATAAGGGGAAAACCGCGAGCACGTCGCAGCTGGCAATAGCGAGCTTTGACACGCCGGTCGGGAAAAGGTCCCTCGCGGCTATGCTGTGCACTCTCACGATGGCCAATGGGCCTGGTCGCGAGTGTTAGGGCAAACCTCGTACGAGTAGGCCTACGGCAAGTGCGGCTCATTTAGGTACGACCACTTCAAGCACTAGGCACCGCTGTGGGCTTAGCGTACGCTACCGAAGCTAGCACTCGAGTAAACACGCCTGCCGAGGTGCCCAAGGCCACCCCAGGCAAGCTACAGTCCGGCGATTCCCAAAGGGGACGTGGACGAAGGAAAACACCTGCTTACCCGGCGCCGACCACGGAGAAGAGAGCGCTCCCTCGGCGCGTGCCCCGCCCACACGTGGCGCCATCTATTGCCACGTGGTGTTAACAGAGCAGAAAAGCAAAAGGGTGTGGCCGTGTGGCGGAATGCACGCGAAATGGTCGCGGGCGCGCCTCAGATCCCCACAGAGGTCAAGAAAATTTGTTCTATTCATGAGAAGTTTCATTAAAGCAAAGCCCACAAAATGAATGAAATATGACTATTTCAAAAGCACCAACTGTGGCTGACTGGACAATAATATCTTGAAGTACACAATACTACTATAGTTGATTAGAAATAAAAATGTTGCTAATATTGCTGACTCGGAAAAAAGGAGGTGATAATTTGCTTGGCCTTTTTCAAGCACTTTCTCACATAGTAGGAGTCCATTGCTGAAAGGCTGGACAGGAACTCTGTGCCACCATCATTTTCAAAGTAGCACTGAAACAGGATGACAGCATCTTTTGCTGCACTGTCAGCCACTGAAATAGGCTCGGGATCACACACCATCTCGTCGCCACTTGAGCAGGAGTCCTCATCTTGAACTTTAGCCAGAGGTTCCTCAAGTCTGTCCTCAAGTTCACAACGAGACCTCGATTGCTGCTCGGCGTGCGAGGACATGAGAAATCGCTGGATTGGCTTGGCTAGCTTTGGCATTTGTTTCAAGGTTGCTAGACTGCCATGGCCACTTTCACCGTTCATAGATTTTGCCCGTTTTAGTTTCATTTAATCGATGTAAGGGAGAAAAAATTTTATGATTACCCGAAACTTTTTACCATTAAACATATATGAGACATCCAAGTCTGCCTAGATAGTTTCGTTTATGCAGCTTCTCCATTTAACTGAGTTTCGTTTAATGGGAGTCCACTGTATTTTCTTGTTTGATATTAAGAAGGACTTACCACACGAACTTGAATTTAACGTCGACTTTTAACGTGACAGCACAAAATGTGACTGCATCAGCAGCATTACCAGTAAGCAATAAATCATATTGGATGCAAAAAAAAAAAAAACAAGAAAAAAAGATCAGAGTTCAAGCCAGAATTAAACCTTCAGTCAAACCTACTACAAGAACGCGATGCCAATGCTGGAAACTCCTTTGTTAAAACACCCTACGCAGGCGCTGTGTCAGGTGAGGAATGGCATTGAGATCTACTGCACGGCAAAAGTGTGTAATCGCAGCATGTGCCAGCATGTGTGCATTCGCAGCATGTATGCGAATTGTGTAACAAGCAAAAATTTTAAAGCTGCCCACACTTATTGCAATGGGCTCAGCCATAATCCATTATTGTCATCAGCCACATCATTAGGTGTGCAGCTATGGAAGCGCATGCATTTCTTTGGAGATGTGCAGCAGGTAGTTTGCAAGTATACTTGCAGCAGTCCCTCTAAGGAGGGTTTGTGACCAGTGTCGCATGCACAGACATTCGTCCCCTCGTAACATGGTAGAGGTGTCGACTGAGAAGCAAAACACTGCACGCGAATGAGAATGTAATGCAAACACGGCCCAATACCACTGCTATCACGTTCTGCTCCTAAGGTGAAGCTCAAGTGCTTTCCAAGTTTGTTCTTTTAATAAAACAGACCAGGAAATCGCCTGCGCAATGCAAGTGAACATGAAACTGCTACAGTGTTGATGGCGTTAGCATCCACCCGAAATCAGAAGGGCAGGAAGAAGGCTTCCAAGCAAGGAACTTGTTTGCACAATGTTTCCAAGCGAGTGTGCCCGTCAAGGAATGATGATGCGACAAGTGCTAACAGAGCTCCATAGCAGAGAACGTGAATTAGCGCTGCGATACCTACAGTGCACGTGCACGCTGAATCACTTTCGCACCACTTCACAAAGGCAGCACAGCTGCCACTCATTCCCTTGTTCCTACAAGATGTGAAACTCAGCACACATGCCCACAGCTGCCACTCATTCCCTTGTTCCTACAATATGTGAAACGCAGCACACATGCCCGCATAATATGGCCTTTCATACAAGAAAACAAAAGGAGCATTATGCTGAACAAGAGAACTAATATAATGAATTGTGGTATTACGGCCCAAAACCACAACATGGTCATGAGAGACAGCGTAGTGGAGGGCTATGAAAATTTTGACCATCTGAGATTCTTGAGCACCTAAATCTAAGCACATGATGATAGATAAGTGGGGTTTAATGTTCCAAAATCACCATATGATTATTAGATGTCATAGTGAAAGGCTCCGTAAATTTTGACCACCTGGGGCTCTTTAACGTGCACCTAAATCTGAGCACACGGCCTACAGCATCTTCGATTCTATCGAAAATGCAGCCACCGCAATTGGAATTCGGTCCCGCAACCTGCGGGTCAGCAACCTTAGCCACTAGACTACCGCGGTGGGTTGTAAGCCCATGGGACTGCAACATTTCACTTCATTACAAAGAAATGACTCGCCACAGCAGTCTAGTGGCTAAGGCACTCGGCTGCTGACCCGCAGACCACGAGATCAAATTCTGGCCACGGCGGTCGCATTTTTGATGGAGCAGAAAATGCTTGAGGCCTGCGTGCTTCTGTTAGGTGGACATTACAGAGTCCCAGGAGGCTTAAATTTCTGGAGCCCTCCACTACGACGTCTCTCATAGTCATATGATGGTTTTGGAACGTTAAATCCCCAACAGGATTCAATCCCACAAACAAAAGACTAGCACTCAAGCACCAGATAACTAGGCCGCCTCGATGGGTAAAGAAAAGAACTGAAACGATAAAGAGGAATGTTATACTTGGACGTCAAGACAAATCTATTGGAGTGTATAAATTTTGAGAGTATACAGTGTTAAAAGTTGTCTCCGTAAACACAGAACTTTTTTTCCAAATGTCGAATTGCAGCATCATTCACGCTTTGATCTGTGAACACATTATTATGAGAAGCGTAGACACATTCTTACACACAAACAATGAAAAGCCCACATACTAGAATCTCTTTGTGATGTGCTTTCTCTCCGGCGTCCGCTTCTGCTTTTCTTTTTGTTCCTTCTGGCATTTTGCATCATGGGCTGCTGTAGCTGCTGCCTGCTGCTGAAATGAAGAGATGAGGAAATAAGAATCCAGTGGAAAGGAAACATTACAAGTATTTTAAGCCGTTACAAGCGGACACACTGAAAGCCGATAGTTCCGAGCTGCAAGAGAGGCAAAAGATGATAGCAAAGGAATGCGGCTACGAACAATGTAAACCCGTCACCATCACAAGGTCGAGCACACCACTGGCAAGATATCTCAATTTTAAATTTCGTGTAAGAAGCATCAATGGCTCAAACATATGCTTTGCTCACTACTAGTACTTAGAAAATGGCAGTCTTTAATCGATTTGATTGATATGTGGCATTTAACGTCCCAACACCACCATATGATTATGAGAGACGCCGTAGTAGAGGGCTCCGGAAACTTTGACCACCTGTGGTTTTCTAAAGGCGAACTCCGGCGATTCTTCAAGGTCAATGATTCTAAATGAAATTCGCTGGGTATGTTCCTTTGCACATTTTAGTTCTTTATGCCAAATCACAAGTTTGAGTGATGCACTGACTGTTTGCAAATGAATTTTAAAGATTGCCTCGAAAAGCTCACCTCACTTGCCAGAATTATTGGCAACACTATGTGTGACGTCATGTTTGGCATGCGAACGGAAGTGAAGCAGCCGATGGAATCGCTACTTTGGCGGCCGCTGCAGCGTTCATTGTGCTTTCCACTATGCGACGGCGGCAGTGTTGGGCACGGGTATAGCACGGGAACGCTTTGTTCTTTTCTATGTGGTGTTTGGTCGGTGCTTCGCTGGACTGGCTTTCACAGTTTTCATACTCCGCGCCGGCGGAACCAGTATACGGCCTCCGGCTCAACCAAACAGTACGATAGCACGTCATAAGCAGACAGGGAGCTTGATTGGTTTCGGTATTGCACATTTTTGCTTATTAAAAAATATTTTTAATATTTTGAGCATTTCAGCTATTGGGCTCCTGACAAGAGTGTCTCAGGAACCTAGAAACACTATAACCTTGACATGGTGAAAAAATCGCCGGAGTTGGCCTTTAACGTGCACCCAAATCTGAGCACACGGGCCTACAACATTTCCGCCTCCATCGGAAATGCAGCCGCTGCAGCCGGCATTCGATCCCGCGACCTGCGGGTCAGCAGCAGAGCACCTTAGCCACTAGAGCACCGCGGCGGGGCTGGCGGCAGTCTTTAGGCATTGCAGGAGACACTGATGTGTGTGCACAGTACTATACAACTAATCTTGACCAGTTTTTAACCTCAGAGATGCTCAATATGCACAAGAAAATAAAAGCTGCACCCTTATGTGAATTAATTATTCTGAACAGTCAATAATTCAGGACCCTGATCTCGCGAAAAAGAAATGTGGATGTTTAATTTTATATCGTACTGAGCTAGAGCAATTGGCATGCTTTCATAAATCTGATGTACAACTATTCTGAAGCAATGAACCATGTATTTTTTTTTTTTTTATGGCAGAAGCAGCTTCGAAACAGAAGTCAGGAAAAGGCAATGCGCATTCCTTTTAATTACAATATATAATAGCGCAGAACATCTTTGACACTCGCATGCTCTGAAGTCAGGTTGTCGGTGGCATTCCAGCGAGCACTGGTAGACAGACGCTCATGAACGGCACAATAGGGCGAGTGTGCAAACCATGCAATTGTATAACAGATTGTTTAATAGGTCCACAAGCCTACTAGCAGATTACCTCCATAAAAATTTGGCTGCAGTGGCTGGGAATCAAGCCCATGCTCTTGTGCTTGGCATTACAATGCCTTAGCGGCTAAGTTGAGGCAGGGTGTCCTGCGAGGACGTGAAGATGCGAAATTTATCAATGTTGGCAGCAAAAAAAATAAACGGTTCCCAAAACACTTTTGTCTTGTCCGTGTCAGTACTTCATTTAAAACTTTCTGCCTCCTCCGGGCCCATTGAAGAGCTCACCACAGAAGTAGCTGCGGTGGCAGGAGTCACCACGGAGGTGATAGGTGGTTCATCAGCCACCGCTGGCATGCTCTCCTCCATAGGGCAGCAGACACCCATGGGTGGTGTGGGTGGGTACAGATACTGCATGGCGTAGAGAGGTACTGTTGGTGTCGGCACGTACGGAGCATAGTATCCAGGCAGACCCCTGCGTGTTTACACAAAGAAGTGGTCACTGTCCGAGCTATGCAAGAGGAAAAAACCAAACAGTTTGACAATTCAAACATGACAAACTTGTGCCGGCACTGCAACTGATTTTTTTTTAAAAATCGCTCATCCGAACTGTCAGAGGAAACGGGCACAGTTTCAATGATAGCACAGTCTTAGGGCCTTTCATTTCCACAACATAATACTGTCTGGTGAGAAAGATGCATACTAAATCTGGAGAAAACACACTCGTTGAAATATGTTAAAAATGAGGCGAATGCCGACATTTTGGGGCCTCTAGGAGCGCGTGGTTCAAAACAACAAAACCGTGACTCACGGTTCTTCCTTATGTTAGAAATATGGGATAGCATGGGTCAAAGCAGCAGATGGGATGGAATACTCTAGCTGCGGATTTACTTCACGAGGTGTGTTCACACACATATAAGGATGGGCGCAAAGCTTCAACCCCCCCGAGACATGATTGCACGGCCAAGCAATCAAACCTGCGATCTCATGCACATTGCAGAATACATTTGAGACAGCGCCTTACATTTTGTAAGGCCAGCACACTTCTACACAGCACTGCATTGTCCTTTTCGGGGGCACTGGCAGCAGTGAACTTCAAAACTGCCTCTTGAGTGCATATTTAAATGCCATTATCCCGAAATAAATCCAACGTAGAAATCGGCTCATAATGCAAATATCTGTCACACACTGTTGCACAGAAACTACTTCCTGTAAACTACCATGTTCAATACAACAAACCACGACTATTACATTTATTTGGAAGTTAAAAATGACATGGCAACAAAGGGCGAGAATGACAGTGCCATTTCTCAACACTGTTTTCCTAATTTTCATCAGAGTCAATGTAGTGCCACAATTAACTAGTTTCTCATTATTAGGCTAGCCAACAAGTATGCTCTTTTTAATTATTGATAAATTCATCAAAAGTAAGTAGTGACATTTTCAGGCTCACAATGCAAATATCTGTCGCACACTCTTGCACAGAAACTACTTCCTGCAAACTACCATGTTCAAGCGAGTTACTGTAACTCGTTAAGCAGTTTTTACAGTGCCATGCACTATTGGGAAGTACGAAAATATTGATAATTTGATCACCAGTAACTAGTGGCATTTCAGGTAAACAGTTACTGTAACTTGTTACTTTGATTAGACCGGCTTACTGTCACCTTTTATGACCACAGTACTCTATCAAAGTTATTAAACTGACCAAGTTTTTGACAATGAATGAAAGCCACAGACACAGAGGTGACAATATTTGATCACCAGTAACTAATTGAACAGTGATCGGCTTTCAAATGCCCTCAGATTGTCCCATAGTCACTGAAATTAAGGATAATTAGTTAGACACTATTGAACGTAATAGAGAACAGAAAAAATTATAAATGAAAAATGCCATGTGCTTAAAAAAATTAAGAGATTTGCTATAATGTTTGTGGCTGGATTACGGGGGGGGGGGGGGGGGCAATTTTTACTGTCTGCAGGCATAAAGGAGACTAGTTACTCCTACCTCAACACATGCACTCTCATAAGTTTATCTCTATTACATAATTGATATTGTTATGATAGGGTCAAACTAGTTTCGTGCACGAGTACTACAATCCCTCGAACTCGCACCTTTTCATACTGACCAAGCTTGCTAAAGAAAGCATGCTCCAACTAATCTTTCTCAATCTTGGACTGCATAGCTTCGATACAGTGCACGGAACAAACGTTTCAAAGCCTGCAATTTTTTTGTGAAGAGGGAAAAGGCAGAACAAATGCGTCACACGGGCCGTTGATCGCGATCGAAATTCTCGACGGCGGTTGGCTCCTTTTCGATTCTTACGCATCTAATCAAGAAACACGATTCCTATCGGACCCGATGACGGGCGAAGGACACCGCGAACCATTCGCTCTTTTGTATTGCAACGCTAGTTGCGTGTTACCCTGTAGTACAGTTCACGCGCGACCATGGCGCGGGCTTAGCTTTTACTTACAAGAATTGTTTCGCAACGTGTGTTGTTGTTGCTCCGATTACACGCGGACGCAAAACACAACGCCGCCAGAAATCGGAGCGAGTCGCGACACGACCTTCCAAGGTTTCAGCAAAACCTCGCTTCCTTATCAGCTGTAGTTACGACACAAGACGCGCACGTGAGGCCTTTGTCGCCGTCGGAGACAAGTGGTGACAATGCGCACGCTTCCTGGCTTTGATATTTTTTCTTTTTTCGGGATAAAACGTTTTGGCACCAGCGGCTGCCATTCCAAGCATCTTTTGCCGCGCCATGCACCGGAACAACGCGGCGAGGCGGGTGACGGTAAACGATATGCGGAATGAATCGACATGCTTGTTACTACGCTTTGACCATCCACTGCGTTTCGAAAAGACGCCATGTATGAAAACGCCACGTCGCACACGTGAACGGATACCAGAGCAAGTGGTCCCACGCTAGCAGGTTAAGCGAGAGAGAATTTACTTGATACGCAGTGGAGGTCCGCCGCAAAGAAACAAACACCAAAAAGACAGGAATTCGTCATCAAGCGCAGCACAACGACCCGCAAAACGGCGGGCGCTCTTCGCGTGCCGTTGCCCTCAGTTACGCTAGAGTTTTAGCGCGAACTCGCTCGGCTCTCTACACAAGATTCAATCGGCCACAAAAAAAAGCGGGCTAGTTTGAGCGGGTGGGTTCAAAGGAGAAGGGGCAATTCGGGGAAAGGTCGCCTCGGCAAAGGACTAGTGCGAGGTTCGGAAATTGTGAAAAGGCGCTTACGTGATGTAGAAGGTTTGAACATTCGGAGGAGGCAGCGGCGGTGGGTACGTCACGTCGCCATCAGCCACAGCAACTGCGGCTGGGGATGTCGAGGCAGCAGCGAAGGGCGCTTGTGGAGTTCCCGCTGCCACCACGGACACAGCGAAGTTCTTGGGCACGAAGGGTGACGCGTCGGGAGATAACGTAGACCTCTGCGCCACGGGCTGCAGCGGGTCTGCTGCGGCTGGCGCGGAAGGCAAAGTGAAAACCACGGTACCCTGCGCGCTCACGATTCCACTGCCGGACATGATTTGATGTGGGATCGCACCGATGATGGGTCGTCGAACGGAGAGAAAAAAAAAATGGGGATGGGGGCAGGGGGGTTGGGAGATTTGGCGACGGTGGCGTAACTTGCTAAGGGTCACAGCGGCTCATGCCAGAGGGCTGCCGCGGAAAGGGCTCGGTGCTAGAACGTAGATATAAAACAGCGTTGTTTCAGGCTAAACTGGACATCATTGGGGGAAGACAACAAAACCCGGACAACATAAACCAGCCCACAAGCACCTGCACACGAGCAATGGTCGGCGCGGTGGCAAATTTTCTGCCCGTAGCGCCCGCCGCGCCACCTACACCTCGCGAGCTGCTCGAGGGCTCGAGCAATTATCGCGAGCAACTATGGGCAGCTACGAGTTAACGGCCCTAACGACTTAAAGCTCGCGTTTAATCCGAGCACAATTTCTACGTAACGTCCAATGTTACCTATTTCCATTGTTTTTAAAGCTTTTTATTTTTATTATTTTATTTAAAAGCACGTCAAACCTTTTGTTTGTGTTAGTTGCGTTATAGCATCGCACATGGCGCCCTAGTCGTGCGTTTTAAGCATGGCGGCGCCCATGATATAATGTCAACTTTTTCAATGAACATTGCAAAGTGCAGCTTTAGAAGTGGCTTTTTATTGGTACTCTGCGCGATAAACTACTCTTAAGTCATGTGAACAGATAAAATGTGTCTTTAATATACATCGAGTGAGCTGACAAAACGTTTGTAAATGTTCTTTCATCGAGGGAACGTAGTCGAAAGGCACCCCCACCCCGCTCTTGATCTCTGACACAGGGACCACTATCACGTTTGTTTTCATGTTTTACTCCCCTCCTTCTCGCCTCCTGTCATCGCAGCATGTCACAGGGGCAGAAGAGAGCCATCGACCAGGATCCAGACTACGAGTCGATTCCTCTGCAGGCGCAGCAGAAGAGACTTAAGTTGCACGAACAAGATGGTGAGTTCATCAGCTACCTCGATGCGGTACGCCAAATAAACAACACTCGTGCGATATAGTTGTTACACTTGATTTATTTCGGTTCGACATCGGCTTAAGCGGCACATATCTTGCTGCTGAAGTACGCCGTCGTTGCTCTACTTGAATGTGTTGTGGTAATTATCATGAAGCTGGCATGTTGTGCTAGTGTTTAGTGATCAAGAAACACAATATTCGGTGTGAATACGATACTATAACGGCATGAACGTCGTCAGAATAAGACAACGCGCGTAACAGCGTCGCATCGGGGTGTTAACTACGGAGAAAATGCCTGCTATTGAAGTTTCACATTCGTATCGCGGCTACTGTGAGCTTTGTCGCTAAGTTTTTCCTTGTCGTGAACGATCGTGTGTTCATGCGGTAGCCCACCTGCGAGCGCCAGTTCTTACACGCATAAAATGTAATGTTAGTTGGTAATAATATATGGGCAGCGTCAACTGTGCACGTGGTAAACGCAGTTTTTATTTATTCAACCTTGCCTAAAATGTGTATCATCTTGCGTAATATGCAGACCCCTTCTATTGTCACCCTGACCGGCATGCATCCAGGTCAATTATCTGTTGTTGTTGTTTTTCTACTTCCTCAGCCAAGGAGGCCGCTGTCAAGAAAATTGAGCAGATCGTGCGAAACCAGTTCTGCAATGAAATCTCAGCCCGAGAGGCTGAATTGGATCTCATTAACAAGGTTTGATTTTTATGGCTTACAGCTGCTGATAGTGACTGTTTCGCTAATGATATTCTTGGATCTTGTGTACTGTTTAGATTATCAGGTTATTCATTGAATGCCTTTATCAGCTTTTGCTTCGGGCCTTTTCGTCTGCTATGGTTTGTAGTAGTGCTTCCTCTTGTCCATGTGCATTGTTCAGACTACAACTAGACCGTTCAAAATGCAATACCAACATACCTAAATCGTGGCACTCATTTGCTTGTCCTTTCACTTTTCTATAAAGCAGCCAGTTGTTCGGATGGTGCTACACATACCCTGTTTGGAAACTGAGAGTCGTTGAAATCGGATCAACTGCAAACCAGAGCATATCATAGCAACATACAGAAGATTTCGTTCATGTGTGTAATCAGAACCCAAATCGCAGAGTTGTGAAAGGAATTCTGCTGCTCTGCCACCACCACTCTGCAGAAATGCAGAGGGTGGTTTTAGGGAGCTGTTTATGCATAGCGACATATATAACACTGAGAGAGACAGTTTTCCTGATGGCGATGAAGTGTTTACAGAAAAACAGCATTGTTTGTCTGTGTGTGAATTAATTTTATTGTTTTAGTCTTCTTGTGTTCATGCCCGTCAGTTTTATAAAAAATTCATCGAGTCTAGAATACCATGTAGAGCTTGCTCACACTTCATCTCTTTGCACAGTTAGGTCCATACTATGGGTCCACATCTAGGCAGTTTGTGTAGTCTGCTTCCATGGTTGGTGTCAAATTATCTCGCCTAACATTGTTTGTGGGAATAAAACGACGCCTTTTGCTGGCAGTGGAGCAATGCAAAAGAATACAAAAGGCAGTGTGTGTGTTCATGGTGGTATTTCAGAGAATCTACCAGGCCCAGTTGATGCTTGATCGCCTGCGCGTAGGCATCATTACCAAGTACTATGCCACTGGTGGACAGGCTGCAGTGGAAAGTGTACGTGCTCTTTATCCATACTTCTTCAAACTGTGCCCATGTCATATGGTCCACTTGTACAGTTTTGTGTCCTGTCACACGATTGCTCGTAAAAATTTCCATGTATGCTCAGTGTGCGTTAAGTACGATGTGCTTTAAAGTGTAAAAGTTCAAACATCGTTACTTGTTTGTTTGACTGCATTTGCGGTGTTTGCAGTACCTAAAAATCCGGCATGGCACTTCCTGCATGACTCTTGAATTGCAGAGGGTACTGGCAGCTGGCAAAGCGAAGCATCATGATGTCTGACGTAATTCGTGAAATGTATGAATCAAGTAGAGTGCACACACAGCACAAAGTGGTGCTCAGCTGAGCCCGGACTGCACAAAAACTGGGCAAGAAAATTAACAGGCACAGTGTGACGTTATATGGGATTTTATTTATCTGTGTTATGACATCAGGCTTCTACGTGTCCTCGGCCTACTAGTTTCTGTGGGCCTTTTGGAAAGCTTCTCGGCGGTTATGCAAGGCAGGGAAGCCCGCTGACCGCAAACTTGCTACCGAAGCTGGCCTTCATCTTGGGAAATTATTCTTTAGCCATAGCTCTTTTCTTCTTTCGAGTTGCTTGTCATTTAGTAGAGTGTGCCTTTTCATGCTTATCACCTGTAAATGCGTGCCTCACTTAGTGTGGAACGTCGACCCGTGGTGGCTGGGAGGATAGCCAGCAAGCCCTGGCCAGTGTACATCCGACTGTTCGCAAGTTCCTGGGAAAGGCGCCACCTGCCCACTTGCAAACTGACGAAGGTCATCACCAGAACCATGCGGAATCGAGATCCTCACTCACTTTGGTCACAGAGGACTCCAAGGAAGGGACTGCTTCCAGGCTCGCAGTGAAGGCAAGTCTTGTTTGTTCAACATAACATTGGACGCACATTCGTTGTCTGTCACTTTGTGCGTACTAAATGGGAGCTATGCTGGCTAAAATTAATGTGGATTGATTCATTGTTTGATTGATTCAGTGCGTGAGCGAAACACACATTCAAGGTCCTAAGGCAGTGCAGAAAGGAGTGACAGTTTGTTGAGCAGAAGTATACAATGGTCAAGTGTTATTAAATATGTTGCTAGATGATCCGGAAATTTCTAGTGTCAGTGATGTTGGCAACAGAGGCAAAAAGGTGGTTTCGTTGAGCGGTGGTTCTAGACAAAAAAAAAAATTGGTGTTGATAGTGCGGCGATTACAGCGACGAGTTGGCAGGCTCACTTTGAAACGGTAAGGAAGTGAACATGGGTGATGGAAAAGACTAAGGCAAGGGTATTTGGTGGACAGGAAGAGTTGAGGTGGATTTTAGGCGTTCATTAATGATGTAATAGATAATAGGGGAGATTACATACAAAGACATACCGGATTTCTATTAAAAGCAACTTCTCTTGTTCTCCCTTCATTTTACTTTTTCATGGTATTTCGTTATTTAACATTCACTTGTAACTATATTGTCAGCTCCCTAGAATGCTCGACCTGGCCAAGAAAAATATAGACCTGTAAGTAAAGAGGTACCATACCTCTCGTTTACGTTTGTAGGAAGCAGTGATTCACTATTACTGTAATTTTATAAAAAACTGTAAGGTTACTGTGCTTACTTGAAATTAAAGTGGGCTTTTGTTTATTTATTTTTTTCAGATTTTAACGACAGTGAAGTCGGCCCTCACATTTCAGTTGAATACCGAAATTCAACGCAGTTCTTTTTACTTTTGTTTCATTTTTTCTTCTGAGCGCAATGAAAAGTCGTCCTTCGCACTACAATCTTTGTGGCATTACAATCGATAAACACGGTATCACTTGAGGCCATGCAATACAGTGTTGTTAATATCATTCAGCAATGTTGACCAGGCATGTGTGGGCGTAGCTTATTTCTGCTTGGTGATAAAGATGTTTAATATTTAGTGCTGTGTTTGATGATGCTGCAGTCTACATATTACGCTTCTTCTACGATTGAACCTGTTTAGTGCTAAGCCGTTTCATAATAGTGTAGCAGAAAAGAAGTCAGAAATCTGAACAAAATAGTATTATCGTGCATCACAAAATTAGTCCCTTCCTTCTCCCAGAATACAGCGCAGCTCTCCGAGAAAGAAGCGGAAGCAGGAAAAAATACGACCACTTCAAGAATCAGCAGAGGACCTCGATGCAAGGACAAAGTACGAGTTATCGTTGGCAACGTCTCCAAGTAAGTTTTGCTGTCATGAACAGGTTATCATACTAGTAGTCTCTTCCCTGGTCCCTGTCCTAGCGGTATCTACCTAGAGTCCTTTTTTTTTTGCAAGTGAACATTTTTTTGCTCTCTTGCGTTGTTTACAACTATGTGCTACATTGGAGTGCCGAAGATCGGGCATGTTGGCATTCCATAGTTTGCCTCACAGTGCGCACAAGGACAAGAAAAGTCCTGCGTTCATGTAGTTCTCTCCTCGTCTTTCTTATTTGGTGCCGTGTTGCAAACCATTTATCAGCATTGTTATTTCCTTGTGAATATCTTATGGTATTTTACATGCCGAGACCAAGAAGTGATTACCTAACACACCATAGTAGGCATGTTCAGATTAACTCCGGGCTCCTGAGGTTTTCGAACATCCACACGCAAAGGCAGTTAGCGTACGTCATAATCTAACAAGCAAGTGCTTCTTGCACGCACAGGTACATTCCACTTGACAGGCGAGATGACGGTGGTGGAGATCAGGCGACGCACAAGTGGCTAGCCTACGTGCGGACAGCACCGGAGGAGCGCTGTACCATCAGTGATCTGGTGCAACGTGTACGCTTCTTCCTGCACCCCAGCTACCGGCCGCACGACCTGGTTGAGATCACGTGAGTGTTGCCTCATTTATCCTGGTCTCCCGAAGTGTGCATGTCTTGGCAATGATTTCTCTGATCTGAAACAGGTTCACATTGTGTAGCTTTCCTTGTTTCTTCCCTGGGGTTTTACACCCTTGACTGTTCTCCGATTTAATTGATATGGGAGGTTTAACATCTCAAAACCACCATAATATTATGAGAGGCGCCATAGTGGAGGGCTCCAGAAGTTTTGACCACCTCCGGTTCTTTAATGTGCACCCAAATCTGAGCACACGGGCCTACAGCATTTTCGCCTCCATCGAAAATGCAGCCGCCGCAGGCGGGATTTCATCCCGTAACCTGCAGGTCAGCAGCCGAGTACCTTAGTCACTAGACCACCGCAGCAGGACCTTGACTGTTTTCTTACTGGATATGTTAGTGGATATATTAAACATGCTTACCTAGCATGAGCTGCTAGATATGCTACTGGATGGACAACTTAGTCGAGACTGTTGTGGAGCAGCCAGACCCCATTAGGGGCCTACGGTGGGTGTTGTGGTTGGTCGGCAATTTGGTCCCACCCTCAACAAGCCAGGCATGTGCTGAGACAGGAGGACAGTGTAGTGCCACACTGTGGATCAATATGTGAGATAGTCATTCCATACTGGCTAGAAGAAAGTAGCAGCATCGGTCAGAATTGTGCCCCGCCATGGTGGTCTAGTGACCAAGGTACTCGGCTGCTGACCCGCAGGTCGCGTGATCGAATCCTGGCTGTGGCGGCTGCATTTCCGATGGAGGCGGAAATGTTGTAGGCCCGTGTGCTCAGATTTGAGTGCACGTTAAAGAACACCAGGTGGTCGAAATTTCCGGAGCCCTCCACTACGGCGTCTCTCATAATCATATGGTGGTTTTGGGACGTTAAACCACACATATCAATCAATCGGTCAGAATTGTATTCAACCAAGTTTAGTTCATAACTAATAGAAATTCAACATGCCCGTTTATTTGTTTGTTTTGGTTTTCAATGTGGCTTCTTGGTTATGGTTCTCCTTTGGATTACACTCTGCAGTGTGCATTTTACAAAAGGCTTGACTAGCTTTTGGAATAGTGAACGTAACAGCTGTCATAACAGTGTGACAGGTATGGCACATCATGAGAGTGAATATGCATTATTTCATCTGCACTTCTGTGCAGAACATGTCTTTGTTAGACGCGTCGGAGAACTCTTACAATGCGCCAAGTACATCTCTTCCAGTTCGCCATTGAAATCCCCTGTTAATGACGGTCGTATCTGGGTGTATTCCAGGGAGCCGCCGTTCCAAGTTCAGCGCAAGGGCTGGGGCGAGTTCCCGCTTCGAGTGCAGCTGCATTTTCATGACCGCTGGACGAAGCATGTCGACATCATACACCAGCTCAAGGTTGTTGACCTTTCACTGTTTCTCTTTCTTTACAAATCACAGCAGCTTAGTCACTACGACGTTTCACCGCTGATGTTGTGGTCATGGATTGGATATCAGCTGCAGCAACCACATCTGGATGGAGGAGTTTAGTAATTTGCAGTCTTTCACCATAGTTTACCTGATTTTTCCAACTAGAAAAGTAGGGTGCAGTAACGGCAAATCTAAATCACTATTAAGGAAAGGGCAAAAAATTAAAATAAACTGATTGTTCCTATGACATGTATGCATTGCCCTTATATTCCTTTTTTTTTCTATTATTTTATAGCTGGACAAGACTTACACAGGTCTGCAAACACTCGGAGCAGAAACGGTGAGCTTGTGCAAACATGATAAGGTACACTAAGAGCACACAGGGTACATAGTGTGGTTGAAACACCTCTTCAATGAAATAAAGCTAGATGTTCAGTAAGCACTCTTATGTTTCTTCATGCTGCATGTAACTACCATCAAACTCTGCGCATGTAACCTTGGTCCCTGTTCAAGGGAACACTCATACATTAACAAAAGCAACATAGCCTAATGCTACTCATACTCCTATTGACGAAGGTTCCTTTATACAGTTCATTAGTCATATGTTTTTGCATTAAAATTTTGTTTCTTGTTTATTGCAGTCTTTCTGAGCAATAATTGATAATAGAACGGAAATGGTGAATTTCCTTTAACAGTGGAAAAGTGTGTACAGTATTTACAGATTCAAACGAGAAATCAAATCCCGTGCTATAACAACTGGTAAGCCTAGTTATTCATGATAACGACAAGATATTTTGACGTGTCTGGGCTTTAAAGACAGTGTTGGCTCTGATCTACATGTCTGAATTAAAATTACGTCGGTATGACCCAAACTAAATATGGCTGAAATGAAAGTATGTGTGTTAGTTAGCTTCAAATCATTCTTTTTCAATCTGTGAGTCAACATGTCTGCAAATTTAGTTATATGGGCCGATTAGATGCCTCCTTTGTGCAGCTGCTCTTTGTACCAATTAAGTAATCTAGCAAACAATCAGTGAGGTTCCACACATTCAGAACTAACTTCTCGAGCAACCATGTTTTAATCTCAAGTTCAGTGCTAGCCACAGTTGCCAAGAAGCAGCTTTAAAATGTGACACCTCTTGCTATGTAATCCCACATGCCTCGTGAAATTGTAACTCGTAGTCTGTGAGCTTTACAAGTTATCATAGTTACTGGTTTTTACGGTCGCATCAGCCTCCTCTGCCCATTGAACTAAGCTCCAATAAACGCGCGAACGTTTCAGAAGTATTAATGAAGACAGTCGTCTTTTATTGTTCGCATGCTTCACTGCAAGATTGAAACCGCAATGGCATTTGCATTTAAAGGGAGAAAAAAGTGATTTTTCTTGCATTAGTCAATTACGCTTTCACAGTACCAAAATTACCATGCTTGGCATGCTTGGTGAGTGAGAAAACATGCAAAGAGAATGCAGATGGTGATGCCATCTTGAAATTGCTGCACAAATCATTGTGATGCCATACATGTAGACAGCATCTACAGAAGCATATGCCATTCCTAATCAGTAAAAATGAAGTGCATTGTTCCTCTGAGGAAGCTACAGATTGAACATACCAAGTTTCAGAAAATAATGTTCAGTCATTGCCGGTCAAAAGGATAAATACACTTTGAAATCTGTGGTGTCACGTGTCGAGATTCTGGCATGTAATTTAAAAATGAAAGTTTAGAGTGTAGTTTTCTCATCTATTAGTCGACACCAAGTTTCATAAAATAATGTTCATGTCATTGCCAGCCAAAAGGATAAATACACTTTGAAATCTGTGGTGTCACGTGTCGAGATTCTGGCATGTAATTTAAAAATGAAAGTTTGAGTGTAGTTTTCTCATCTATTAATCGACATATAATGGTTAAAATAGTGCCATTAGTTCTGAATGTACAATTTATCAGTCTAAACCAATTCATTGCTTCACTTTAGTAACCCCTTAATCAGGTAGAGTTTTGTGCTCATACTGAACAACATACAATACCATGGGAAATTCTTGCATTTTTCATGTACTGCAGGTTGTCGACCTCTGGTTGCCTGCCTCAGCAACAAGATCTGAGAACTCATCCACTGCTGCTAATGAACTCAGCATTTCTAATGGAGGCGTGAATAACAGAAGTGCAGGGCCAGACAAAAAAGTGATGCAGTCAACTTCAGCACCAAGCAATGAAACCACTGTTGCTGACAAAGTCGAAAATGAGTCTAAAATTAACATGGTTGACTCCAAAAATATTTCACCAGATGATCCAGCATCGCAACACGCAGAAACTTCCAGCACGACAGAATTTGCGCATGCTGTGTCGTCAGTCCTGCCAACTGAACCGCCCTGTGAATTGGCTGAACAGATGGAAACTGAGCGAGGAGTCAGCACCGACAATGCGGTCACTGATTCTTGTACAACACAGCTAATGGAAGTCGGTATCTCACAGTTGCGAGAAGCAAAGGAGAGCGTTAGCAAAGCAACTGCTAGTACAGTCATACAAATGCCATCAGCAGCAACAGTATTGACCGGAACAGCTTCATCGCCTGTCGACATTGCACCTAAGCCAGTACTGTCAAAGGCCTCTGTGGCAGTTAGTCCAAATGGTGTCGTCTCACCAACATTCGTGAAATGCACCGATGCCCTCGGTAGGGTGCTGCTCATCCCAGCAACATCACTCCTCTCGGCTTCCAGTTCCCTTGTACAACAGGCAACGGTGTCACAGCAGCCATCACTTCTACGGCCCAATAGTGCTTCTAGTGTAAGAACAGCACTCGGTGGCACAAACGTTTCTGTTAGTACTGCAGTTTCTGCGGCTGTTCCGAAACCTTTGAGCTTGGTGCTGGCAAGTCCCAGTATTTGTACTTCAGGTGCATCAGCTGTGAACATCGCCACAGTTGCGGCTACATCAGGTACTTCCCCACTCAAAGGAAGCACTGCCATTGGAGTGACTCCAGAGACAATGGCTCCGTTTTTGTCCATAACACCGGTGAAAGCTGCCACAGTCACCGCCGTTCATCCAGTATGCCCAAGGTGGTAGGTGCAACAGCCACGAATGTTCTCTCGAACGTTGCGACTCTTCCACCGCCCAAAAGCGGCCTCCCGGCTGCACCTTGTGCTGTTGGCAGTGCTAGTGTGAAGAAGGTTGTTTCTCCGGTAAGAGTGATTAGAGCCACCCTGACGTCACCTGCTGCAGGTGTGAATAGAACAGCCATGCCTGCCGGCACCCTTCGTGCTGCCTTTCCACCTGCCATAGAGGTACAAGTGGTGCAGTGCTTCTTAATACTCCTTCCAGTGCAGCGGGCAGCAGCACCAGTGCTCCCGAGCATCAAGGGTGGAATGGTGTCGACAGTGGCAAACAGAACAAATTTGCTCAGTGTTGTCTGCAATAAACCAGCTGTCACTAGTGCGAGTGTATCGGCCCCTGTCGTGCAAGGTGCCTCAAAGCAGCTCGCGACCATTGCTACCACAGCAGGAAATGTCGCTTACAGCAAACCTGCGTCTGAAAGAACTACAGTGGTGATGCCGAAGGCAGCACAGTCAGTGATGCCGTCTACTACCAAGGTAAAATCTGCACCGAGCACATCGACTTATACATTAGTCATGCTACCCGGTGCTGGTGGTAGCCAAGGCCAGTTTGTGTTGCTCCCAACAGCATCTGTCACACCGACAGTCTCAACTCCAGTAGTTCACCAAGAGAAGCAATCAACTCAACCATCTGCTTCACCAGGGAACCAAAATGTGCACAAGATTGTGTATCCTGCTGCCTCTTTGCTGGCCCAGCCTGAAAAAGTGGATCCGGTGAAGAAGTTGCGGGACAAGCTGGATGCTATTAGGTTAGAGATATTGCTTCAGGTCCCTTTCTCTCTTGGAAGGCCGTGAAGAGATCATGTCTTTTATTGTGATATTTAGTGACTGAGGTGTTGCATTGCTAACTAGTTATACTGGTTGCAAATTAACAGGTGTATAAATACAAGAACACCCATGTGCTTAGACTTAGGAACACGTTAAACAACCCTTAGTGGTTGAAATTTCCTGGCTGCGGTGGCTGCATTTTCGTTGGAGGTGAAAAAGCTGTAGGCCTGTGTGCTCAGATTTGGGTGCACGTTAAAATTTCCGTCAAAATTTCAGGAGCCCTCCACTACGGCGTCTCTCATAATCTTGTGGTGGTTTTGGGATGTGAAATCCCACATATCAATATCAATCAGTCAATTAGTGGTCAAGATTAATTCAGTGTCCCCTTTTAGGCACACCTTATAAAGAGGACATGGATTAGGTTGCTAACATATGAGATATAAATTTTTTAAGGCTGGTATTTTTCGTATCATGTTTGCACACTTTAAAAACAAAATAATCTTGATAAAGTGATTTAATATGTGTAATGCTGAGTGCAAATTTAATATGGTTTAATAAACCTTAAGTATTGAAATCTGCTTTTATGTCCCCGATTTATTGGGCATATACAACACCGGCGACAGATAATTCGAGTACTTTGCCTCAATTTTTTATGAACTCTCTTCAACCACTTGTTCCTTGCACAAATAGCACATTCGACCTCAGTTGTGGGAGATTCTTGTCGTGCAAATGAGTTCTGCGGGAACCCGCAATGGGGAGGAAGGGTTAACAAAAGGACCAAAGACAACCACCAATTTGTAGCACAAGCCACAAGGAAATCTGTGCTCAAAACTTGTGCCCATGTGCTTCGAGTTGTTGATGAATTCGCCCCCACACTGTCGATCGCTAACTTCCTGGTTTGCTCAATTGGTAGAGCGACCGCCCCAGAGAGGTGTTGGTCCCGGTTTTGAACCCTGGACAAGGGCGAATTTTTCGACAACTAAGAAGCTTTTCCTTGTTTTCCTTGTGGCTTCGTGCTGCGAACAGTTGGCTGCCTTCTTTCCTTTTCGTAATGTTTGTTATGATTTCATAACCAGGCTGCAGAGCATAGTGTGGATTTTAAATCTACATTTTTTGTCTGCAGGCTTTGTAACTTCAAGGATATGAGAGAGGCTCTGTTTGCAGTGGTTGCTCATTTTCCCCTGGTCGGTGTCACGGAGTTTGAGAGTAAGTGGCCAATGTCTAAATCTTGATTGTTATAATTTTCCTGCTTCACTCATGTCTTTGCTGACAGATTCTGAACCAAAGTGCACTGCATGCATGGTGGCTTCATGGCTGTTGCAATCTGTCACCTAAAGGGAGCTCTAAAGAACGGTACTAGGAACTCGTTCACTTTGACACCTTTCGGGTCTAGTGACAAACGTTCCTACGCACTCATACTGCAAAGCATCGAGTCTCTCGTAGTCACGAATGGTCACTGATGGTCGAAAAGCGACTGTCTTAAATCAGCCACTCTCTGCTTGTTTTGATGTCACATGACTATGATATCAAGTAATGAACCAAAACATTAGCTTTTTGTCCAGTGGACCATATGTGACAATTCCTGATTGGTTGCTGTGCAGCAAAACATTCGTGATCAACTTGGCTGCAACTCCTCGAAGAGTGACCTTTGTGGATGAATCGTGAACCAACATTACTCTTTCTGAGTTATTTTAATTAATTTTGCAAGAAATTTGCTACTAGAAGAAAAACTGAATGTCATGCCTTCATATCATAGATTTTGTGCCAAGACTGGTACATCAGTGAAATATAGTAAACATGGATATATATTTTTGCACTTGGCTCGTTAACTGTGTACAATCAGTTAATTGGGCAACTTAATATTTCTTTTAATTAGTACAGCGACCATTTTCAACTATGCGAGTTGAACTGATCCAAATGGTATGGCTCTCATGGTCTTTTTTATTTCATTAAAACATTGCCACATTTATCAGGTTACGTCATTGTAATATCGAATATAAAAACTATCCCGTCATTGCTGTATACATTATCTGGTATTACTAAAGACCACGAAAAACTTTCTAGGTTGGAGCACTGGTGTACTAGGGAAAGTCACGCTTAATTAAGTGAATCTATTTTGAATATCTTGACGTGATTGCACTACCTTCTCTGTTTTCAGAGCTTAGCTGCTTTCCATACGCTGCCATTGATGCCACAACATATTTTTCGTGGCCTCTGCCCAAGCGGCGGGCTTCAGAGGTAAGGGTAATCCACTGTTTGCGAAAACTTTCTTGCAATATTTTAGCTCTTACAAACCAACAGGAATTACTGCAACAGGTTCATTTTTCAAGTCACAACAATATTTAATGCCATGATCCCAGAGCATTTTGTTCGTACATTTTAGCCTTTCCATATAGTGTATTGATACTAGGGCATGTGCGAATAGTAAATTTTAGGTTCCAAGCATTGAAGCAAATAGTGATTTAGTCAAATTATTTTGAATTGCGTTTAAATAGTATATATCTCATATAATAAAGAAAAATGAGTGTATTTGACATTATCCAACTAGCCTGCACAATATTTTTGAAAACAAAATAAGGCATGTACAGATATAATTCTTTCTTAGTTCAAAGGCAAATGTAAGCAACTTTGAGTATAGAAGCAGGGTTTAACTTTTAGCGGAATGAAATTTATAACTTGTAAATTACGATACATTTTAAAATTTACTGTACTTAGAGCATATAAGTCGATATAACGAGCTTTTAAACTTAAAGAGAAGAATCTATGTTATGGTAGTATGTTCATTTAACCTTAGAGCAGGGCTTAGCAGCAGTGTGGAATTTTTCTGAATAAAAATATTAACAATATGGCACACCTTTGCTGCAGTGAAACCATCTTTACAGGGAATCACATGCAGTTTGTATATGCCTAATCATCCATTTCGAATACTTGAAAAATTCGAACAACTTAAATCGCCTCAAAGTGAATTCAAGTACTGCAATATTGGTTCGAATATTAGAAGGATATGAATATTTGCATATGCCTAGTTAACACCCGAAGTATTTGTACGACAAGATCTTGCACAACTGTTATGCATGCAAAAAAAATAAATGTGAAAGATATCGCAATGAAAAGAAAGACCATACCCTTTTAAGTACGCTCATTCTCATTGCATTGCAATCACCTTGCCATCTGCCAGTGGTTGTGCAGAAGCGCAACATATTTTTCTGGCCGTTTCATCCCACAGTTACGCTAACTTTGTCACCATGGGCTCTTTATGCCTGTTTTTACAAACCAACTTGATCCTTATCTCTCAATTTCTTTGTTGTTCTTATGACTTTGCACTGAGTGCTTGAAAATAGTAAGCCGTGCAATAAACAACTGAGGTTGGTTTCTGACAACAGCCTTCATGTTTGCTTATGGAGCATATTAAGGTAGCAGAAACGACAAGTGCACTGAGTGATAAGGGTAAGCTTGGTTTGCGAGTATGGGCCTCAAATTTTTTTTCGACGCATCGCATACTTCATGCTAAACCTGTTGTTGTTGACTTTTCGACTGCACAACTCTCTCCACTGTGGATCTTACCGGGAAGTGGATGCGGGCTTGTGATGTGCGACGGACTCTCCAGCTGCTGGTGGAACGCCAGCAGCCATCCTGGTCTTCATCTTGTCTCCCATCTCGGCGAGCCATCGTCCTACTCTGTCGTCGTTTTGGCTTCACACCCCTGCACGCTGGTAAGGAGCAAGCCGACACAGGAACGTGAAATTTCTGAATGAATGGCCTGGTTCACATTTATATTCGTGCTTTATTGCCCAAACATTGTGAAGCACACGTATTAATAAATATGAATCCCTGCCAACGCACTCAAGCTTCTGTTCTGGTGGTGTATTATTACACCCACATTGTCTGGCGCTCGAGAAAGAGGCTCCCTGGACACTTAATCCCTTGTTGTTTTTCCGTGTTATATTTGTGAGCAATCAAAATGACATTGAACAACGATGCTTGAACTCATTTCATGTCAAAGGAAATAAGACAGCTTGCCTAACCACCATTTTCCCTCTACGGAGAGGACATTCGTACACATTAAAATAATCGTTTACCCAAAATTAGCTGTGTGTCATAAAGAGTCACTGAGTGGTCTACCAAACTATAAGCTGCTGGAAGCTTGCTTCAGCATATTGAGAATGCTACTATAGGTTTCACAGCTAATCCCCTGCTTGAATCGAAATTTTGAGATGTCATATTCAGCTTAGCGAAAATTGTATGATGCAGTTTTCAGTTTCAAAGAAATGAGGCATCTCTCAACAGATGTTTTTCACCTCGTCTGTTTGTCTCACTGTTGCAAAAACATTGTACAAAGCATTTCATTGTCTCATTCTTGCACAAACATTGTACAAAGCATTTAATAATAACTGTCAAGGACATCCTACTCTGGGACTCGCATTACTTTAGGAACAAAAGTATTTCTCCAACTGTCGCTCGCTTTGCATTACTGCTTTTTTATTTGTATAGAAGGAGTTATCACAGCCTTGTAAATGCGAGTATCAAATGCGACTTACAGGCTTTGCAATTTTTTTTTTTTTTTGCAGACATTGGTGGTGAAAGTGAAGAAGCGGACATTGGAGGTAAGCATAACTTAATGCCCAACAACTTCATTGCGGAGAGTTTTCAGTCGGCAAATCACAATTTCTTTTTTCTTTCCATCAAGGTTGTCTAGGGGATTACAATGTTGCAGCAGTGGCGTTTGTTGGTGGGGACAGAAACATAGCCTGCATGGGAGCCTCGCAATGTTTTAATGCGCGTTTCACGCTGGATCAAGAAACAAGGGGGGGGGGGGGAGCGTGAGGGTGTGCGATGGAACGAGTACAATGAACTAAAGTCAGGGCAGTTCCAATTCAATTTAATTTATTGATGATTAAGTTTTTTCGCCTTGCTCTTCTTTGAAGAAGTGGGATGTGCCAGCAGCCACTGAAATGCCATTCGCTTACGAATAATGGGTATGACAAGGATGTTGGTGCTGAAGGAATGGCACGAACTGCTAGCAAACAGGCCTCTAATATATAGAACTCCTTTACAGCCATGGTATCTTCGATGTATCAGTTGCGTGGATTAACCAACATATTCGAAGGAGGTTCTTGCCCCCAGGACGAAACACTGTGTAGTTAGAGGGACTATGAGACGGTCGTTCTACTAATTTCGATTCATGATTGTCCTCTTGAGTAGGTGATCCAGTACGGTCAGCCCCACAAAAAAAAAAAAAGATCTTGGCCATTATTGCGCATTGTGACCTGAAATTTTAATTCTAAAGCACTCCCTCTAAACTTCTCTTTCGAACAGTGGCCTAAGTGTGGGCATGAGCTGTGTCACCTTGTTTCATGACGTCAATTGGCACATGCAGGTGTGGCTGCCATTTCGTCAGTTCTGAAACAGTGCAATGCTAAGCTAGACGTATTGCTTCTGACACTGTGATATCCAACAGCATGATGAGTTCATATAGAACGCAGGAGTCGAGCTCAAAACATAGGTGTAATGTAGGAATGGGGGAATAGTGAAGTTGAGGTTCAAAGCAAATTGGAACAAATTGTGATTTGGTCAGATAACTTCTAATTAAATAGTTTGAACAGTACATATCACATATTTCAAAGAGAAATTAGCATTTCTGTTTTATCCCACCAAACTCTCACGGTATATTTATGAATTAGATCACGTCGGTTTCATATGTCTTACTTTTTTTGAAAGTGTAAGCAGCTTATATAGTAGGAGGAAGTTCTAAGCACTTAAGTACATTGCATATACTTGCTATATTCAACACATATAAGGTCATATAGCACACTTTAAAGTTTCAAAAAAGAATATTAATCTGTTGCATGTTATGCACATTTCACCTTCAATTGAATGAGACAGTTCGAGATTTCTCTTGAATAGCTGGTTTGACGGTGCAACGGCAGCACGATGTACTGAAGCCACTATTTTATTGGTTTACATGCAGCAAATAATCGAATGCTTTGAAATTACAGAATTTAGGAAGTCTGGATGAAGCATATTCAAATCCTACATTACAGTGAAATCTCATTACAGGAAACCTCAGATCTACGACTTTTTTAAAACCCCCTTCAAATATTCATTGGTTTAATGTCAAAATATTTCACTATTACGAATTCCAGAATACTGAATGTTTCAGAATAGCATATCGAATTTCATTGCCCTTATATCTCTACAACACTTCGAAATAACAAATAGCGATTTGAAAAATTACTCGCAGCTGTGAAAATAATGCCCAGCTCAGTACTTGCCACTATCAGCATCATCAGAACGCCAGCGTCTTTCTCTATGCATCTGTGCTATTCAACTGTGTGATAGCTCTATCACCATCACCTGGTATTTGTTTTTCTTGGCAGGCTTCGTGCCCTTTCCCTTGCTTTCGCCAGGCAGCTTCACCTAAGCAGTCGCTACATGGCTGTTTTCTAGCCTTTGGGTTGCCTAGCTTGTGTACTTCGTTCGTTTTGCGTACGTGTCTCTCGCACTTACAAAACTTTTTGGTTGGTGGTTGAACGTCCAAATTTTGCTTTGGAAGCAGCACGAAAGGAATGCTACGACAGTGAAAAATGCCATGCGAGTGACGAGCGGGATGCAGTCGCCAGTGATTACTCATGCACGCTTCAATAATGTTCGAACATTGCACACAGTTTGATGACAAAGCATGGAAGTCAGCTTAGCTCAGAGAGTGAAGACAATGTTAAACAGCGGGCACGAAGCAATGCGAAGTATCTGTATCTAACGCTGATGCTTCACAGTGCATAAGAAGGACGCGCGCGATTAAGAGTTTGTCTTTCAGCAGTCGAGCTGCACCCATTGGGATAGGTTGTGCTCTTCCTCGAATAAACGTGTATTGGTTACGTATTATTTTGTGTTTGTTTGGTTCTTCACGCTTAATAGAGCATAACGCAGCATCAATAGGTGACTCACATGGTTGTGTTTACGATTTTTGCGCAAATTTTCGATAATTTCACTACTTCGACTTTTCAAAATAACGAATGATTTTGAGGGGTCCTTTGAGATTTGTAATACCGAGATTTCACTGTGTCCGTTCAGAATGCTCGAACATTAACTCGTGCCTAGTGCCGTGACCCTATTAACTATGCCATTACGATGAATTGGCTATCAACCCAACACCTGCACTATTTTTTTCCCTCACAGCTGTGGATTCTGGTGCTCATGACAGCTACTCTGAGCCAAGTGAGCTGCTCTCCCAACTTGCCAGTGCTGCAGAAGGTGCCTACGAGGATACAGGTGATGTTGACGAAGAGTTAGATGTGGTGGGACTCAGTGGACCTGACAAACTTGACAGTGCCTTCGGGTCAAGAGAAGCCGAAGCATCTTTGCAGAAACAGAATACCACATTGCTGAGTGATTCTTCACCGGAAAAATTCCTACCACGCAAGGCAAAAGTTCACTTACCGCTGTCTCCGAAAGCTGCCTTTGTCCGAGATGCTGCCTCAGAGGTACCCACCTGCATAATAATTCTTGGGTTTTGCAGAGTCCTAACTGCAATTTAATCATAAAGCGCATCTTGTTGGTGAAATTCAGATTTATTTTGATCCCGGTGATGCTTTGATGTGCACTTAAATGTTCAGCATGAGAATATTTTTGCCTATAGCAAAAGGACACTTTTCAGTATTCACTAAATATTGAAATTCTTGAATATTGAAATTTTATGCTGAATATTATTTAGCGTATATATACTGCTGTGTTGAACCTGTAAACTGCATTTAAAGGGGAAATGCATTCTGTTCGAAATTAAGCTGTGGCGAAACAGCTGGGCAGTGAATGTGGTCGTATTCAAATGGTAGCACCATTCAAAAATAATTGATAAAACCTTAAACCAGGAGTCTCATGCCCACTTCAGGTAGTGTTCTGCAATTACGAAATTTATTGCAACAGGTGCTGGGAGGGTAGCTAGCTAACATTGCTATTTTAAACGAGGCCTCTTTCGTACCTCACACTTTAAGTCCTTTGAAAAAGCGATTCGGTGTCTGTATTCAAGAACCGTATCGACACCGATCTCCAAAATTGAAGTTTTGGTTCCACGGTTTTGTTTCAACACATGGTGACTGGACGGGGAGAAGAAAAGACGCGTGGCTGAGCCGCTTATGAAATGTCCACGGTCCACATGTTTGAGACTCCTGGCTCAGAAAGACACTTCAGTGAAACATCATTTCAGTTCAGGCTGATAAATTATTCTATTGTGATTATGTTAGTGGTAATATGCTCACAAAAATAATAGAAAATAGAGATGGAAGTAGCATTCTTCTAATTGTGCACTTGCATCCCCAACACCTGAATATCCCTTTAAGACTCCCTGTGAGGTGCCCCTTGAGACACAGGGTGGGCTTTTGTATGTATGCATGCACCAATATAGGCTCAGAAAAGTGTAACAATGAAACTGCCGCCATTCTTTTCTTTGCTGTCTTTATTGTGAAATCTGAGCGTGTGCCTTATTTCCAACAGGTCGGTGTCCACCTCAGCAGCTGTGAATTAGAGCCTCGAATCGATGTCCCGGTTGTGGAGGAAATGATTGTCTCCGTAAGTGTGTCCAATACTTTTTGGCTGGTTTTTTGGGTGGTCAAACTTTATGGACTTTATGAATAGCCTTGTGGTGGTGGTGGTGGTGTTATCAGTGCTCACTGGTGTAATTTTTATTTTCTTGCATTCATTATTGTGTGTATACAACACATTCTCATAAAACTGAGGTGCCTCACTCTCTTATGTTTTTGTTAGCTCTGAACTTATTAGAAACATTTGACTGGTTAAAAATATTATGTAAAGCTACCGTTAATACCACTGGGGATGCATTGATCACCTTGTCAGGAAAAAAATAGAGTGCTTGACATGCAGGACTCATCAGGCACAGATAAATGCATAGATCCTGCTGTATTAAATGTTTCTGGTATCTTTATTAGTACACCTGTAAGTCTACACTAAAAAAAAACACACATTTATTCGTATTGGCTTGTTCGTGACCATAATGTTAGACATTAGGGTAATTTTGTTGTGTTTTTCAATGTAGACTCATATGCAATAATATAGACGAAGTTAGGCATTTTTATCATCTCAACTCTGTATTTCATGGTAAAATACAGATGGCTTAGTATAGAAGTGCTTGCTCATTGGTTTGAATTTTTGTATGAATAACTTATCACTTGCAGGCTTGTAAAAACTTTGCGACGCAGTTGATGAGGAGTGCCCTCAACATGGCATTCAAGAGGGCTTCTGATGAAAGGTGAGTACGTTTGCCCGAGTGACTGGGACAGAATTAATGTTTGTTCGTCCTTGTGACAAAGACTTTCCCTTATGGCATAGCTTTTGGTGTGTAAAATATGCATCGTGTGTAAGCGGTAAGACCTGTGTTCTTTATGAATTGAAGCTGTGTTTTGTGGTATTTGTTATAATCCATCCAGCAGTCACAGCTGATTGCGACACTCCTAGAGCTTTTCACTTGTGAGCCCGAAGTTATTAAATGCACTTCTATTTACTAAAGGCTTGCCAAAAATCTAGTCAAATGCCATCACATTCTATCTGTGCAAGACACATTCAGATGCCAACCAAAGTGAGCAAATATATTTATAAACTTCTCATTTAATTCCAATAATGAAGTCATCACTTTACATCAGGAAAATGGTATTGAAAAGCATCAAGGCCTAATCTTGGTATTTTCACGCTGGCCATTTACAGCTTATCTTTATTTGTAATTATAGCTGCACCCATGTAACAGTGATAGAAAATATCTGCTTGCAGCAGCTTTACTAGAAAAAAAAAAAAAAGAGAGTAGGAATTGGGCATTGAACTAATTATTCTTGTTCTTTTTTTTTTTCATGGCAGTGATGTCAGCTGTAATATTACTTGGTTTACTTCGACATAATTCGTTCCATACATACACTTTTAAACTATAAAAGCCAGATGTACTTGTTATGCCAGTGAGAAAATGGTCAGTTGCCACTTTAGGAGTGCTCCTGAAGAAGTTGTAGTGCAGTGTCTAATGACTGCTTCACGCATACACAGGATACCATCAGTAGTGACTCTCGAGGACACGTACCGTGGGATACTGGAAATAAAAGAGTGCAGTTTCCTGACAAACGAGAGCCTCGGCATCGAATCAACAAGGGAAGGCGGTGATGACACCCATCTCTAGCAACTGTACATTCAGCCATCTTGCACATGTAATTAAAGACCAAATTAATTGTGGATACCTGTGAACATTGCGTGTTTGTTTCATTTACTCAGTGGGAGCGTCGCTGCAAACGACCACACACTCGTGCCCGCAGTTTCCTGTACCAAACACTCTAGCAAACTTGGGGATTGCAATTCAGATTCATTACTTGACACCTAGATGCTTACAACATACACTCTATAGTTGGGTTACAAAGCCTATGTGATTTTGGGAAGTCACTGCACTGAATAAATTACCTTAAAATATTTGTTGTATAAACCATCCTGTTCTACTTGACAGAACCTCACACTATATAGAGGCCAGCGGTCACTGCACTAGATTGCCTTGACTATTTGTTTTATAAACTAACCTGCTGTACTTAACAGAGCCTCACACATTATAGACACCAGTTTTTCTAGTGTTTTTAAATATTGGTGCAATACTTTTTTGTGTGATGTAAAAGAGTTGAGATGTTCCATGAATATATCATAGCACATCTATCAAATCTATCTGTTTGTTAGAGACCATTTATATGCTATAAAACCAGAAACAGCAAGCTGGGTGAGTTGGTAAACAAAAGAAAAAAATATTATCCAGAAAATTGCCCCAACTCCACCCCAAGAAAAGGACATGTCCGGCCACACTGGCACATCGCAGTCTGGTACAACATCAGAAGGCAGCAGCATTTCTACCTTTAAAGGAGATGCACACAAGACTGCACCATTGAGGGTACACCAAAGACTGATATCATGAGTCAGACGGTCAGTAATCCTGCTCACAGAGAACTTTTCCGAGAGCATGAGTGGGACAATTTTTTCAGTTTCAGAGGAAATCAGCTGTCACTCTGGTCACCTGGCTGGGACATCTCCTGCCTTCACTGTACCAGACTAGAGACGTAGCTGCAGTCACACTTAAAGGGACACTAAAGTCAAATAACAATTTGCGTCAGAGTGAAAGCTCAATGTCTGACAACATCTAAAATGACAATATTATAAACAGTGCCCTACTTACCGAGAAATTAAGGTAAATGCTCAAGAACTACAGTAGGACATTTTTGAAATGATCCCGATGGCATCAGACAGACCACCTACAATTAATCACTAGTAATCGATCAAATTGCACTAAAGACCCCTCCGTGCATGAAGAGATGCAATAAAATGCTGCTTGTTCATTTCTGTTTGATTCATGAAAAAAAGAATCGCCGGAATGTTACTATGGGAAATGACGCGAGTGGTTAAAAAATTCTATTTTCACGTGGTTACACGGAATAGGTTGTGCTATCTAGCGGAGCGCAGTCGAAACAAAAACGCCTGCTATCTCGAAGCCAATAGCGGGAAAATAATCAATGGCCGTCATTGCTGCTGCTACTAGCACAGTGAAGTGAGACAACGCTGTGCATGGCAACAGTGACGTGAGACGGTCCGGTTGGTCCGCTTCTAGAGGTGGGTAATTTGAAGTGCGCTAACCCGATTCGGACCGCTGAAACGCGATTTTATTTCAAAATAGGCCCTCTCTTGGCACAAAAGTAACACTACGAGGTTTCTGGACTGCCATTTCAACAATCAACGTCGACTTATTAGTTGCCTTTAGTGTCCCTTTAAGTTAAAGCTGTTATTGTGCAGGCCTATCTTACTTCACCACACCAGGAGCTTTTCAAATCCTGGGTGGCAGGTCTGATGTGCATTGCATACTGGTCGGTTTCCTCAAAAGTGCACTGAAGTAACGAAAATGAATCAATTTAGACTAGCGCAATCCTGCATGGTCACCCTACTTTTGTTAGTACAGTCGAACGCACCTATAGTCATGCCGGTTTAGCGAAACATTGGTCACAACAAAGAAAAGCTGCTGCACCGTAAAATTTCCTGTATTTGTGATGGGGTAGCAACCTGCTGCAACAATGCCTCCAGGCCCCATACCCGGTTATAACGATGAATAATAATACCCGAGATTTAAGGTCCCAAAATCGTTATATGAGGGACGCCATAGTGAAGGACTCCGGAAATTTTGACCATCCTGTGTTCTTTAACGTGCACTGGCGTCACACAGCTCATGGGCCTGCTGCATTTGGCCTCGATAGAAGTGCACCCGCCGTGGCCTGTACCGAACCGTCGACTTTCGGATCAGCAGCTGAGCACCATGACCACTGCACCACCGCGGCTTACTGGGTTATAACAATGAATTCCGGATACTGCGTATGTGCTGGCAATAGAACGTGAAATCTCTTCAAAGAAAGAACTGACAAATTCAAGCTCGTGCAACTCCAACCACGCTCATACGATAGGACCTGCGTCGTAGTTTTTTACAGTGTCGCCCGTCGCGCTTTCACCTCTCCGAACAGGAATAGGCTACTACGCGCCATGCCGAGCTGGTGCTGACCCACATTGTTAAGGTGCCACCTTATAATTCACGCTATTTTTTACCGCATAGCATTTCGGCATTGCGGCCAAGCTAACTTAAAATCGCTGTGCCCGCAAACGGATCGACAGCGCTGGTTCGAACTTGCGAGAGATCGATGCGGAAGTGGTGCTTGCTTCGCTTGTTGCAGTTTCGGGTGTGCAATTCGAGCAAAAAGTCTGTAAAAAACATAGCTGATCCCTATGTCTAGGAATCGGTATAACACAAAAGTGGAACACGTCTTTTCAAATGCATTTGGGCGTTTATTGAGCATAGCCTCGCCGTAAGAGCGAAGGAGTGAATGCTACAGTAAAGAATTCTAATGTCGCGCGAAAAACGGCCAGCACCTCAAAATTTGCAGCGAGCACCTCAGGCGGGAAGTACGCGCGAAATGACCAAACGCAATACGAGCGTGGACTAACAACTGTCACAGCTTGACACTTCAAGAGTGCTGCTCAAACGCAAAGACGGACGAAACAAACGCACAAGTATACACAGGACGAGAGCAAATAACTGTCACAATTCTTACTTTGTGTGTGAGCAGCGAGTGAGGTCACCTTTGCGCACTTTTTAACCACTTTAACTTAAAAGCAAACTTGCGGTGGAAGCACAAGACGTACGAAGCGCCTGAATCGCGATATAAGCGCGTGCGCACGAGCGACCACACCTAGAGGAGGCGTGAGCGCATCGCAACACGTGGGGCGACAACCTTTAGAGGACGCCCTTCACGCCATCTGGCTACTAATGATCAAAACGCGCTGAAGTTGCTGAACTCCGAGGGCCGCCAACGGTATATACAAATAGCTCGCTGTTAGTCAGCTGGAGAACGTGCGTTCTGTGGCCGAGAGGTTTCACGCTGCGGAGCGAGAGGTTGTAGGTTCGACGGCCGGTGACGGAACTTTTACGGGCGGAGCTTCTCTTGCTTTAACCTTGTCCTGCGTCGCCCCGCAGCGGTGGTCTAGTGGCTAAGGTGCAACTGACCCGCAAATAGCGGGATCAAATCCCGGCTGCGGCGGCTGCATTTCCGATGGAAGCGGAAATATTGTTGGCCCGTGTGCTCAGATTTAGGTGCACGTTAAAAAACTCCAGGTGGTCGAAATTTCCGGAGCCCTCCACTACGGCGTCTCTCATAATCATATGGTGGTTGTGGGACGTTGACCCCCACATATCAATCAAGCCTTGTACTGCGTCAGGCGTAATCAGCAGTGTCATGCAAACAGATATACATACGGACGGACAGATGCGCGGATGAACGGGCTGATGCAGGGACAGACGGACGCTCGCCCCACTCATCATCATTGACTTCGCGGATATTCTGTGATTTTCCTTTTTTTTTTTGCAAGCTGTTAGTATATGTTTCACAGTGTCATATCCGTAACGGTAATACGTAAGCGGAGCCGTGGCAAACCCCGGCATTAATAACTCTCGGGTTAAAAAGAGTTCCACCGACCAAAGTTTTAGATGTCTTTATACATTGACAGCACAGAGCTTGCCGGGAGAGCGTTGGAACTTTTAAGAATGACCGGAAAATCTGCCACTGTCTTATTACTTACAATTTTCCCGCAAGAGCCTGCGGTCCACCTATTTTGGTATCTTTCAAGCAACCCATTCATAACAATTACCGGTTATAACAATGTGACTTTCGCGTTATAAGTGGATTCAACCGTATACCAATACAAATGAAATAATTTTCCCCTTTAGTGTCATATTAGGTCTAATTCGCCCCAGTACAGTCGTGTTACGCGTCAAAGCGTTAATGAGCCAACATGACGACATAGATCATGTATTGTAATAGGACAATAAATGATAAAGATGCGACAACTTGAAGTACAACTAAAGTGCGCAGATGACTGAGGCGGCATTAACATACACTGTCCTAGTTCTGTGTATAACACTCTCAGCGAAAACAAACACGCAGATAATTGTTAGCACAGTATGTGTGTGAGTTGTCTGTCCCTTGGTGAAGAGACTCCTAACTATCTAACGGGGGTGCTAAGAGATCCTTGTATGTTGACTCAGTCTCGTACAGTCATATTATAATGTGAAGGTATACGGCCATGCACAGTCGAGACGATATTGGTGGCCTTGGTCAAATCATGTTGCATTCCCGGAACATTTTCAACTTTTACCACTCTCGGAAAGCCAATGACCAAACACGTGCCAGTGTAAGCAGCGCGCCAACCATCTTTTCATTTTCACATATGTTACGAGACGCTGACTCGTCCAACAGTCAGCGAAAGGGTAGAGAAAAAGAAAATATTGTAGAAAACAAGTTTTTGAAGTTGGCTTCTCCTCAATAAAGACGCTTCAGTGAAAAAGCACGCTTTAAAAAGCGAGAGAACGGTGACGCATGTAGTTAAGAAGCATTTCTGAAGCAATCCTGCCATGGTGATAGCCAATAAAAGTTGGACAGCCATTCCAAAACTGTGAAGTTGTATGACCAACGAAGATGTTTAGCGCACGACACTGACGTGATGACGCGACACAAAATTTCGAACCTCAGGCCATCACTCACTGTGCAACTAAATCCGAAACGAGTCCAGAAAGTAAATCTTGAAATTACGGTATGCTCTTTCAATCGTTATTTTTTTATTTGAGAATCATTCGTGATTTTGCCGCGACATGCGTCTTCTTGCCTGGCTTGCCGCACGTG